TCAAGCCCTGCAGTGGCGGCATCCCATATAAAGTGGAGGAAGATGGGCATACATGTTAGCCCAGGGCTGGTCTTCCTCAGCAAAAAAAAAAAAAAAAAAAAAGATCTGAGCAACAAAATTTAAAGTTTTACATCAAAGAACGAATCTGAAGCAGGATTACTTCAAATGACTACTTCAATTAATCACTGAAAGATCATTATTGGGTAAATTAACTTTTACTCAATACAGTCAGAGAACATTATTCCAGAAATCAGACAAAACAGAATACACTATGCCACAAGCTTTATATATTTTCAAAGAAAAATTAGGGCACTGAATATAAGTTTTGATGATTTACATATTTAATATAAGTCCTAGATGAAAAATACTGAAAAGATTATTTTTGCTTTAATCCCAATATGCTAAGAAAAGTTCATTGGCACAAATATCTGGAGGTATTTTACAGTTTCATTTAGCTTTGGTGGCCAAGTGTGTTTTGCTAACCATATGAATACAGTTATATTTTCCAATGTAGAGTTTTTTTTTTTTTTTTAAAGATTTTATTTATTCATTTTTTTCCCCCCAAAGCCGCAGTAGATAGTTGTATGTCATAGGTTCACATCCTTCTAGTTGCTGTACGTGGGACTCGGCCTCGCGTTAGACGGAGAAGTGGTGCCTCGGGGCGCGCCCGGGATCCGAACCCGGGCCGCCAGCATCAGAGCGCGCGCACTTAACCGCCAAGCCACAGAGCCGGCCCCAATGTAGAGTTTTATGCTTAAAAAAAACTCAAATGTGTCTTTTTTTCCTAAAAAAGGGATGTAAAAAGTCCAATATGAAACAAGTGAAACATGAAATACAAAATATGTCTATCTTTTAGGCTTTTGAACAGTTAATAGTTCTATGCTTTGTCTATAAATCTTACTGGTAACATTTCTACTATATAAATACTAAAAACCAAAATAACATTAAAAAAACAGCATATGAACTTTACAAAAATGGTATTTTAGACTTCCTCAACTAAGACTAGGATTCAAATATGCAAACAAATTTACACTAACAAAGCAAAATATATCAACAGTTTTTCATAAGTGTTCAAACTTACAATGTACAGAATAAGTACAGAATAATTCTGACTCATACATATCAAGTCCTATACAAAGTCATCAGAAATTAACTGGTTACTTGGTATTTCAAAACGCAGATATTTTTGGCAGCATAACATGCCAAACACTCTTAGAAAGTACTGTACTTGATTTAAAAATTGTCAGCTACAGACAATGAAATCAAGATGTAGCTTAGAATATCAGCTAACTTTTGAAACTTATGTTCTCCATTCAGGTGTACTTTTACATTTATACTATTAATGAAATAACAGTTAGTCTATTCTCACTATTTCTAAATTTTATTCTGTTCTTAAAACTGAGTTATTAATATACAAAATTCAGTCATCTGTATTCATAATATAATTTATCAAAAAAAGTGAATTCTTGAGCATTTACAGTACACATATTTGGATTTGGATTACCGACCTGACTTTTCTTTCCTATCATCCTTATTAAAAGCAAAGAACGCAAGTAGCCTCACAGACTTTCTATTTCCTCAGGCTGTTAAAAGCTATTGTGAAAGAATACACGAGTAATAAGTATAAATAAAACTCCCTTCCAGAACTTGAAATATTGTCTTTTGTTCAAAAAGACTGGGATAAAATTTCAGCTCCCAATCATCTTACTATTTTGTAAAAGTATCTTCTACCTTTACTTTATGTGGCAAGGAAGTTTTCTGCCCGGGTCTAATTTCATAACACAAAGATACTTTTATCGTTTCCTTTACCCCAGGGAGTGCCACGCTCTCCAAATAACTTCATAAGGTATCTTGTTTCCTCTGATATATAAGTTTAGATATATAACACTGAGAAAACAAAAAGCGATGATGAAAAATAATCAACAAATGCCTCGTCATAGAAGGCCCCAACACATTTTTTAAATTTTTCCCAACTGATTTTAATAACAAGTTACTAAAATTGCAAATGCAGCACTGTCAAGTTTTTCATTAAACCTCACAGTAAAACAAGATATTACACTAATTTAGACTTAATGCCTAAGATGAAAATACAGGCCAGTTGAATTATCTGGGATTCAGGAATCAACAGCCATAGTTTATCTCATAATCTTTGTGTTTCCCCCATTTTCCCCAGAGCTTTCAAGAACTAAACTGAAAATTGAGTTTTCCCTCCTTTTATTTCCCTTGACCACCTTCTGTAAGAGGTACTAATGAGCCCTGAGGTGAAATGAACACACTAGACTATAAAGGAAAAGAAAAGTACAGGAACTAGATTATGAACAAATCAGATAATCTCCCTCATATAAGGATGAGTGTGTGGAAATGTGCACCATCTGCATGAGTGACAGGATCATCAACAACAAACATTTACTAGGCCTACTACAGTTCTTTATTTCTTTTTCCTTACTGTATAATCATGTAGACATCATAGCGTAGTTCAATCAAGTACTCCATTATATACATGTGAATTTATCTGACCAAAATAAAAAATTAATCAACACATGATCAATATATATTGAAGAGATTCAAAATCAATGTTAACCAGGCACAAATGGTTTTTTTAGGACTACTGTTTTAAATATTTTCATTCTGGTGACAACCAAGAAAAGAGTTAGCAGAACCTGTTTAACTTCTGGCACGAAAAAGATTCAGAAAAATGAGTATTAATGATTTCTATCATATTATCAGTTTCAAATTATAACAGTAGTAACTCCAGAGGTGGCTTCAGAAACACTGAAAGTACTATTTCTCCTGCTCAGCCTATATTTGATCTCGTTACCAACAATAAGGTCCAGAAGTAATTTGTGTAAGCACAAAACTTACTCAAAACTCAACAAATTCTAAATAAAAATGTAACAGTAGAGCTCAGAAGTTTGCTGAATTAGACAATCTCTAACTACCAATAAAAATTTCATTTTTAGTAACATTGCTAATAAACCTGTGCTGTTTTACCAGCTAATAATGTAGATGGTAAGCATGACAGAAACAATGTGTAATTTAAACACTAAAGGACTTTTCTCAAGTGATAGAAACATCAGTTTCGCTAATCTTCAGACAGACCCTCATTTCTCATCTCTGGTGTTTATTGAGGTTTAAAGTGCATCAGGACTTGATGAAGACCCTGTCACAATGTAAGTATACATATATGTCTGTATATATCTATATGCATATAGTGGCTAAAGACTCAACCTAATGTCTTTAAAATGTTTAATAAGAATACTTTTTATAGTTCTAAAATGAAATATTTTGTTGGAATAAATAAGACTGTAGGACTTGATAACTACACTCATGAAAATATAGAATTAGTGTGCCTAGTCTGCTGCTTTAAAAAGCTAATGTACTACTCACAAATGAGAAATTCAAGCTTGTTACATTTTATTCATGAGCAGTACTGACTAAACCAGGAGACTTTAGATAACATAAACACAACGATTATGGCCAACAACAGAAGATCCAAATTGATGCATTTTCTAAAGTTCTTTCTGTATATGGACCTAAGTTCAAATTCAGAAACACTTAAATGACACATTTAACCTATAACTTGAAATACAACTATAATATCTGTGAAAAAACAAAAGATACCATATGTATAAAAGTTGTTTATAAGTATATGCATAGCTAAACACAGGCAGGTGCATCCTTATTTAAATACATATGTGATATGCCATGGGATAAGTGTATAATCTAATAAATTCTCTTTCCTTTCCGGTACTAAACACACAATCACTTGGTATTTTATCCCTTTTGCTACTTCCCTCAAACAAACAAGAGCCTGGTACATCTGCCATGTCTACTATGAGGCTACCACTTTCCTTTAATGTCTCAGTAAGTGAAAATACGAATACTGAACAACAGGAAGGAAGCTGGGACAGACGACAATGGAATCAAACAAACTTAGAACCCTCAGAGATAACAGCAAGACCCTCTTCAGCTGATGCCAAAACAGCAAGGACTTGAGGAACGACTGAGAAGAGAAGTGGGGTAATCCTCTACAGGCAGTAATAGCTGAGAGGTTGTAACGGGATCCAGATGCAATGGCAGACAAAACAAACCTGGTACTCTAGGACATCCCTGGGCACTAACCAGGATACAAGTTTACAGGTGCAAATGTAGAATTACTGGGACTTACAGACTTTTCTTGAGAGGTTTTGGGTATTTACAGCATACACATCTAAAGGAAGGACTCCATGAGCCAGGTATACCTCAGCCTGAGTTTATTCCATCTTAAGGCAAAGATGCCTAGCTCCATTACCTACTTCCTACTCTTTTGCAACTAAAAGTGGGCTGAAATCTCAAATGAAATAGAAACATTACTCTCATCTGTCCAACAGTAATCACCATGGCAAATTAAGATTCCACTGTTAAACCTAGTGGCTAAAGCCTCCAATTTATTCAGGTATATTGTTTGTACTTATGCTATTAATGGGGTAACAGTCTGTCTACTGTTTTCCATTAATAGTATAATTTTATACATCAAATGTGGTATTGTACTTGATCATGCTGATTTATTTTCCACAGTAGACAAAAATTGTGCACATCTAGAGTTTTTTCTGACCACTAGAATTTCGTTAACAATTCATCATGACCTGAGGCACTTTTGGCAACCACTGGGTCAATGAATTAAATAAAATGATACAGACTGAACAAATGAACTGCTCAATGCCAGTAAGTAAATATCTATGAGAATTTTCTTTAAATTTAACAATAGATCTTTTTAATAGTCTCCTGATAGTCACCAAGGACAAAATAAGATTTATATTTGAAAAGGAACAAGAAAATTTCATAAAGTTTTGAATTTGAATTGTGTTTCCATCCATCAATCTTGTACTGGTTACCAAGAAAACATGTCTCCTTAGAATTAAAAGTTATATTTTCACAGATGCAAGAAAACAAAAGATCTACCTTGTTCACTGTGGCTGCCAAAAACTGACCAAAGACTCTTTGTGGCTATTGCATTTTTGAGAAACGAAACAGTTGTGAATTTCATCAATCTTTTAAGACTTATTTCTCAATATGTATACTGTAGCAAATACAAAGTAACCTACTTTTCAGAAGAAAGTTTGATGAATGAGCAGAAAGCTTGAGGTGAAATTACAAGCAATGCTACATTTACAGAGTATTTAGGAGAAGATCCCTGGTATGGCCAATTAAGCAGACTAGCGATATGCAGAGGAGTCCTCAAACACAGGGGCCACTGTATCCTTTTACTAAATTTTCAAAAATGACTTGTACACAGATGCCACACTACAAAACAAAACCATGCTTCAACTACTTTCCTCAAGCATTACAAAACTAATTTCCTATTTTCAATATTGTAAAAATAGACTTGTCTTCTCCAAAGGATCTTGCTGTCCACATTGATGGATCTGTGTGTTCCCTCTTATTACTGGCCCTAAAGGCATAAATCATCTTTGTCATTCCTTAAATCCAATCTTACATAAAGTTGCATAACGCATGGAGTAATAGAGGAATGAAGACAAAGCATGGAACCCTGTATAAGTGTGCTGACCCAAAAGCAATCACACCAACAGCCAGAGGAAGTGGAAATTGTGAAGTAGTCTTCAACAATTTACTGTAAAGAGACAGAGAAGTATACATTATCATGTAATCTACATTGTGAGCAAAAATAGAATATGTCTATCTTTTATACCATTTTGAGAAAGTGTTCTAAGTGATTTTAGATGAAATAATTTTTTATATACTGAACTTAACTGTTCATAATTTTGAAAAAGATCAATACAAGTCATATTTCGGCTAGAAAAGAGAAAAAAATTTCTACTAAGCAAATAATCAGTTTTGTTTAGTTTTTTAAATTTTAACAACAGAAATATACTAGTTGGACTCTTATTCAGCAATTCTACCTCTAGAAATTGATCCTAACAAAAAAAAATCAATAATGTTTACTAAGACATAGATACAGAAATATTTATTTCAACTCTATTTATAATAGCAAAAAAAACACCTCAACCAAATAAAAAAGGAACCATCCTTAATTCCTAACAGGACCCTAAAGATAAGATGTGAAATATTTTTAAAAGAAATATTTTTAAAAGAAAAATACTATCAGGAAAGACTACTCTGAAAACAGAGAAACTGAGGGGTTAAGAAATTTGCCTAAGGACACAGAGCCTTAAATTTAAACCCAGGTCTGCCGGATTCTGGAATATCTGCACTATCTGCCAGAATCAACCAGAAAGTCTTCCAGAGCAAACAACCAGTCAATGAAAAGTCAAGTTTTATTATGGAGAATTTTAAACGTATACATAAGTAGACTAGGAGTACAACGAATCTTATGTACCCACCACCCAGCTTCAAAAATTATCAAGTCATGGCCAATCTTACTTCACCTATATTCCTATCCACTTCCACGCCTCCTGTACTTTTTGGAAGCAAATCTTAGACATCGTATCTTTTAAGGGTTAACATTTTAAAGAAAAAAATCATTATTATATCCTAACAAGTAAAATCCATCAGTCAGAAAACAAGTATAATGCACTTCCATATAAACTGTATTTGCATATAAACCATAATTATTATGGCTTTACCTTTAGGGATAGTCAAAGTAATTAGAAATAAAGAGCATGTTCCAGACATAAAAGAAAGGGTGACAAAGAGATAGATGTGAGAAAAAGAAAGATTAAACTACTATACCTTGATTTTATTGAAACAGTGTAAGTATTTCCAAGAATTGCCATAGTTGGAATAAGGATAAATGCCAGAGGTTTACATGGATCAGGATTAAGTTTAAAGTAATACCTATTTCAAAAAGAAAAAAATAAAACCTAAATCAACAAAGCACACCTGATCATTCTAAATTATCAGAATCAAATAAATTTCAAAACATTCCAGTAGCAATATGGATACGAGAGATCCCTAAACAGCTTATGAAATCTCTGATAAAGAATCTTTGCTCTACATCACCTTTATACCCAAGGTTTTATATGGAGAATTGTGTTCGGAAACTACGAAAGAAAATGAAAATACCCAATATGGAAGCACTTCTTTTTTATAATAGGTATATAAAAGGTCATATATAAATAATGCTTTTATAAAACAAATTATTTTAAATACATTAAGGCTGCTGTATTTAAAAAAGATGAAAAAATGAAGGTTTATATAAAGTAACTGTCCCTTATCTTTTTTAAACCCAAATTCTCATCTCTTGAATTTACTGACAGTGAGACATCTATAGCTTTTCAGAACTATAAATTTGTGCTCCTCAAGTACTTTTCTACACAAACCTGTGAACAAAAATCTGGATCTTGACTAAAATGAGGGGGACAAGGGAAGGATATTAACATCTGATAACCTGTGATTTAATTTATCAAGCTTATTTTGGTTCTGCTGACTTAAAAAAATACTTCCAGGCGCCAGCCCGGTGGTGCAAGTGGTTAGGTGCGTGCACTCCGCTGCGGCGGCCTGGGCTTCGCTGGTTTGGATCCCGGGTGCGCACCAATGCACCGCTTGTCGGGCCATGCTGTGGCAGCGTCCCATATAAAGTGAAGGAAGATGGGCATGGATGTTAGCCCAGGGCCAGTCTTCCTCAGCAAAAAAATAAAATAAAAATAATAAAAAGAGGAAGATTGGCAGATGTTAGCACAGGGCTGATCTTCCTCACACACACAAAAAACATACTTCCAGTATTTAGATAATCTGAAAGTTTTATATCATTTCTGAAAACTACATTGAATAGGGGTTCAACTATGACTTGAATAAGGGCTTATTATTTTTTTTTTTAGTAATTTACCAATAATTAAATACTCCAGAAACCATCTTGGAGGGCATTTTAGGCTCTCATTTAACTTAAGACACCTATCAGATAGCATAGCAAATTACAGTTTTCAGTAGTAAAACAGCTGATCATTTACTTTAGTATAGGACACATTAGAAGAGTATACACTTCCTTCATTATTTCTAATATTTTTAAATGTAAGCATTTTTCTTTGCCCCAAATTTAAGAAAACATAAAATCAATCATGAATTAAAAAATACATAAAGTACTAGTATTATGAATATCTTAAGTCAACAAAATAAACCACATTTTTACATATTTCCTGACTCAAAAAAGGTTAAAGGTAAAATAAATAAAATACAATTCTCTCTTTTTGGGGCAGATTTTGGGGAAGTTTATATTCCCAAAGTTTATATTCTCATGGTAGGGGAGAAAATGTGAATGGATTGAAAATAAATTTCAGGTGATACATAGCTTCCTGTTCTTGAGGAAGTTTTATGGACTATTAGGAATCTAGCAAGTCTCTACTTTCAGATATTTATGTTTGAACCACATAGATCACAATTATATAAATAAAACGCACCTAAGATTCTTTAACCAATAAATTAAAGATGGCATGCTGAGTAATACAATCCACGTTAATAAGTTAATCACAGTACTATGCATGCGAAGACTGTCTTCAGCATCACTGACAGATAAACGAAGATGGTGTACTGCAGAGTCTTTATGGTGATTGGATTTTTTTTCACTTCTTCTAGAGTGTTTGGGATTCTATAAAGCAATAAAGTAAAAATATCAAGATACTAAGTAAAATTTAAGTTTATTATTTTATTTAAAATCACACTCAATTACTTAGCTAAATAAATACATCTTCCCCTTACCAAATTTATATAAAATACTGAAATTATGTTGTTTAAAAGTACTTTAAAGTGGTTATCAGTTATAATACTTTTATTCCTTTGACTTGCTATTTCCACTGCTGAGAATATATCTTCTAAGCAATTACTCAAAATAAAATTTAAAAGATAATTTGTAATAATAAAAACATAAGTACTAACAAAGATCAAGTTAGACAATCTAAGTCCATTTTAATATTCATTAGGTTCACTTTTCTTAAAGTTACTTAAATTCATAATACCTTCTCAATACTGTAAAATTCTAACTCTTTTAAAAAAATGAACTTTCATATTTCCCATGTTCTTTCATATTAAAGTGACGTAGAGTTTTGAAAATAAAACTTACCACAGTCTGGCTATTTTTAAAAGAAGTTAGGCTGGCTTGCAGATGAACAATCTAGGAAAAAGAAATGACTATTTAATTTTCCTTTTATTTTTAAACAAAAAACATAATCATTTTTATTAAAATTGAGCAGCACTGTAATCTGGAATTTAAAAAAATCTAAACAACTAAAAATCCATTTAAACATTTAAAAACATTCTTTTACAAAAAATATACTATAACTACACATGCTTGCTATCCTGAATTAGAAAATAAATAAATAAAATAATACAAATTTCAAGAGTATGTTAGGGCCAGGATATATTGTTATATCTTCTACATTCTGTGAGCCTAGGTTTGAATGAAGCTTTGCTATATCAACTTAAAGTGTCTTGTATGAGTCAAAAATCTGATTATATTCAGTAAAAAGTTTCACATGCTTTATATATTCTATTATATAATATATATAATATATTTATATTACAGATTTGACATACCTTAAACACATAGTAAAGATAAGTAAGAAGTATGGCAAATGCTCCACAAGTTGTCCAACTAACTATGATCAAAACAATTGTCAAAAAGGGCAAGTCTGGTGATATCATCTTGATATCTTTAGGAAGTTCAGAGGGCCTGGAATAATAAGAATAAAGCTTTTAAAAGTATATTAAGTTATTTATACAGTCTCATATAAGAACCATACAATACTCTGCCAGCCTCCCCTGCATATTAATATGCAAGTATTATAAGGTAAACAGTAAGTTATTTTTTAATAAAGGCAAGGGGTGACACACATTTGCCAGTTCTGTAATACACTGCGATAGCTCCTCTTCCATTTAGATAGACTATGGCCGATATGTGTACTAAGGAAAAAAAAACATTGCTAAAAATAATCATTAATTACAGGCCCTGTGCCATACATTTCCGATCTTGATAGAAGAGGACCAGCTTTCTATTTCTTAAAGTCTCAGATCACTCAGGCGTGTGATGGTGTTAGTGTCAGAAACACCTCAGAAGGGTGGAGGGAGAAGCACCACACCATGATCCTCTCTGTGACAGGAAATCACGTAACAGGTCTGGTGAGGGGGAGTGGCAATGGAAACCAGATCAGTGGTTTACCAGTAACTTCAAACTGTGTCTTGGGGCTGATAATAAAACTCTAGGCAATGTTTTTGGAGCTCTTATGTATTTCCTCTAATCTGATCCTAAATATCTTGATTGGAGTCTCTTGCCCTCAGGTTGGATTGAAAGTCAGCATATAAAAGCACTGCCAGAGAAATACTTCCTCCTTGGAAAGATTTACAACAGTGAAATTTAAAACTACTTGTGTAATCTGTCAAACTTTTTTGATTAACTCTTGAGCACTAAGGTCAAAATCAAATGTAGCATTTAACTTGCAATAAATATTTTTGACAAAGACATAACTTTGAACACTAACCCATGTTTTGCTAGTTATACATCTTTCCTTAGAAATTACAGTTTAGTGAAAGCAAATTAATTTTAAGGTTCCCTATCAGAATATAATTTTTTCTTATAGTCATTCATTCTTTACCTTTTCAAAGCTAGCCACAATGAAGAAAGGAGTCTCACAGATGTAGATGAGAGTAGGCCACCCCAGTAGGCAGTACATGTTCCAAATAGAAAGAGAATCAAGGACACAAGGGGAAAACACATACTCTGACTAGTTAAAAAGATGGCATCTAATTCTGGTAACAATAACACATCCCATATTTCTTTAAACCACTTATACCTGTGGATAAAAGAAAACATACAATAAAAGCAAAAAAAAAAAAAAATCAACAACTGACATTCAAGGATTTAATATTTGAAGTGCCTGACCATGCACTACAGTCCCCAAAGTTCCATGATACAGTACTTAATTTATAATTATATTGAAAAAACAAATTTCAATTCTTTGTAGGGAACAAGTCATATATCTTCCAAGTGGGTCTACTGATCCTCAAGAATCTGAGTCCTGAGTCTCAGTGCAGCTTTATTGCTCTTTATTGATCCTTGTAACGAAATAAATGGTCTTTGTTAAAGTTAGAAAGCCAATGGCTAGTTGTAATGACAAAAGAAAACTAAGTAATGGTGCTTAATCAAAAAACAGAATGTGAATACATTAAGAATGGAATGTTAAGTAGGGTAGAGAGATCTAAAATACACTTTGTATGGGAAGTAAGAAAAAGTGATCTGAGGCACTGTTTCATCAGTATCCTATATTGGTTTGTGTTCCTGAATCTGGGATACTCAAAGATCATGGACCATATACATCCCCTTGCAAATGTTAAATGTATATTTACATTCTAAGTTTAGACTGATATATATATAAGTTCAATAATTACTTTTGAAATGGTTATACTATTGAAGTAAATGTTGATATCCTTTTAGGCCTTTACCTAAGAAAAAAATCCCACTTAAGAAAACAAGTCAATTGCGATATTTGTATGAAAATTTATATTCCAGTAAAGAATCCAACATAACGTTTTACATATAAAACAAAAAATCGTTCTCACAGATAACAAAACTTACCCCAACAGAAACTTAATCATAATTACAAAAGGATCAACTTTGTATGGTTTGGCTTCTTTATCCAACATAGTAGCATATTCTAAGCAATGACCTGGTGATTAAAAAAAAATCATATGTAGTAGAGAATTCACAGTAATGAAGTATGAGACATATTATATCCTGCATTGTCTGTAAGAGCAAAATATTTCATGTCAGAGAAAGCAAGGGTCTTCATTACTATCACAGAGACTCTCTTTGAAAGATTAAAAATTACTAGAATTCAATGGTTCTCATATAAGAATATACATTCAATGACTTATGAAATAAAAACAAAATCAGGAAGCCAAGGCTGGAGTTTTACTATTTGTATTTTCACAAAGCTCCACAGATGAATTTTTTAACAACTTTACTGAGATAAAATTCTCATACCACATAATTCATCTCTTTAAAGTGTATGCAATTCAGTGGTTTTTAGTACATTCACAGAGTTGTGCATTAATCACCACAGTCAGTCTTAGAACACTTTTATTACCCTCAAAAGAAACTGTTCCCCTTAACTGTCACCTTCAATGCCTCCCCATTCCTAGGCAACCACTAATCTACTTTCTATCATGACAGATTGGCCAATTCAGAACAGTTCATATAAATGGAATCATATAACATGTGGTCCCTTTGTAAATGACTTTGTTACTTAGCACCAATATTTACCCATGTTGTAGCATGTATCAGCACATTCTATTTATCCATTCATCAGTTGATGAACATTTTGGCTGTTTTCACTTTTTGGCTAACATGAATAGTGTTTCTGTGAACAACTGTGTACAAGTTTAGTGTGGATGTATGTTTTCATTTCTCTTGGGTCTCTAAGTGGAGTTGCTGAGTCATATTGTAACGCTGTTTAACCATCTGAGGAACTGCCAGACTGCTTTCCAAAGCAGCTGCACCATTTTACATTCCCACCAGTAGTGTACTAAGGTTCCAATTTCTCCACATTCTCATTAACACTCGTTATCATCTGTTTTATTATAGCCATTCTAGTCAGTATAATCCAGAGGTGATTTCTGATAAGCATCTTTGGTTCAGAACTACAACTTTAATTGGTTTCAGATATAATCTCATACTTAAATTCTCTAGATTAACCAATATCATATAGCCGTGGGGTCTCTGTGGATTATCTAGATATAAATCCTATATGTTTGAGAATCAATTATAAAGCCACTTGAAACTAAGAGGAATGAGGTGTCTCTTTCAAACTTTCAAAAACCATATATTCAAGTATGGTTGATGTCATATTGCCAGAATAATCTCTTAATTCAAAGGTTGGATCTGGGCAGATCACACTGCATGTTACTTCCTTCTCCCTAGAATATAGGTTAAAATGAACACTAAAGGCAGATTTAAAATTGTAAAAAAGTCATAGAAAGGGAATGAGTAGCTGTGGAAGGATCTGGCAAGATGTAATGGTAGTGGGGATTTCTGGACTGCTTTTATATATTTTGGCCTGACTCTTTTCTTATCTTTTGCCTCCTTTGATTACTATCCATGCCAACAAGTGTGTGAGGGCCTTACAAAGTTTAGGCTCCTAGGAAACTCTTCTAATTGCTATACTCTAGGGAAGGTTTTGTTGAATGTACTATATATTCTACATTTGCCTCTCCAGACCCACTCTCCACTCTTTACTTTGCTCTGAATTCTGGGAGGCTTTTTTTTTTGGTGAGGGAGATTGGCCCTTATCTAATACCTGTTGCCAATCTTCCTCTTTTTGCTCAGGAAGATTAGCCCCGAGCTAACATCCATACCCATCCTCCTCTATTTTGTATGTGGGACGCCGCCACAGCACAGCTTGATGAGCGGTGCATAGGTCTGCACCTGGGATCCCAACCTGTGAACCCCAAGCCGCCGAAGCGGAGTATGCGAACTTAACCACTACACCACTGGGCTGGCCCCAATCTGGAAGGCTTTTATGAACTGGCTTCTAGTTGGATTCAGTGCATGAGAGGCAATGGCAGACAGCAGGGTGGGAGGAAATAAAGTTAGTGTATTTATTTCCCCACCTTCTTCCGTGAGCCACAGGTTGACAGTGGCTGCAGCATTCCTATATCCAAGGCTGCAGCTGCAATAATGCTGCCCTCCCCTACAGCTCTCTGGGTTTGCTCCCTCCCTTGCCCTGGTACCTAGGAGTATCAGATGGTTCTGCTGCTAATCTGGTACTTTATCATTTCTTATTGGTTTTCCCTAAACCTACACACACCTTTGAAATAGTCCCTTCATTAAACTCTCTCAATTATTCCATTCAGTGTACAAGAACCTAACTGATACAGATGGTACAGCCAAAATATTACATTATACTGGATGCCTACTACCTGCTTAGCACTATGTTGGGCACTGGGAATAGAATGAACAAGATCCCCATTAATGAGCCTCTGCCTCTTAAGAGGTCCGCAGAATAGAGGGAAGAAACTTCAGGCACAAGGGTATAAAATGGAGAAAACAAGTAAGGAATTTTCTTGGGAATCTCCTAAAACTTAGAGAATCTCAAATCCCTGTAAACTTGAGGGACGGGTTGTGATTCTTCAAGAAATTGATGTGTCTTTTTAGCCACATGTAGGATGAAAAAGTAGTAATGAAGCACTGAGTAGGGAATGAAGGGAGGGAGGAACAGAAGCATTCTTACCTGTTGAGAAAAGAGAGTATAATTGTCCTCCATAAGCAAGAAGGATACTAGATATAACGTAAGCAGGAAGAGCTCCACCATGAAATCTAACTACCTAGAAAACAGGCAAATCGATGGGCAACTTGTGAATATTCCTGTTAATGAAATAAATGTACTTTCACATGAAATAAAAACATCAGTCTTCACTTTATACCTTTCCAGACATGGCCACAAAGATACCTCCAGTCATGGGTATCAAAACTCTAAGTGAAATAAATGCTAAGGATACATAGCTTATTAGAAACATGTTATCTGAATGTTTCATCAAAGGCACATTAATGACAATATATGACTGTCTAGCACACGCTACTAATTTTTCTTACAAGGCATGTTTATGAGCATTTAATATGTCCCAGGCATGATACCAAACACCTCATATGCATTATCTCATGCTCTCCTCCCAAAAATCCTCTGAGATAGTTCTTATCCCTATTTCACTGATGAAGAAATCCAGGCACAGGGAGCCCAAGTAACTTGCACAATTAAAAACAATAGACAAGCAACTCACTTACTTGTTACGTCTCTATGTTCTCATCAGTAAAGTGGGAACAATAATAGTACTTATCTTATAGGTGGTCTTAAGGATTAAATATGTTCATTTGTGTAAAAGCATTTAGAATATTAACTTGAACACGATAAGCTATCAAAAAATATTAGCTGCTATTATTAGGCTTTTATGTGCTTCACTGTCTTTGAAAATCTTGTGGAATGGGATTTAACTCAGGGCCTAAATTCGTAACCATTATGTTACAGTGCCTCATGTCATTCTACCAGCTGATCCAATCTCTGTAAAAAAAACATACATATAACAAAAACAAAGCATTAAGTTCTTCTTTTAATGTTAAGTTTCAAAGGGAAATTTCCTCTTTTTTTTTTGGTGAGGAAGATTGGCCCTGAGCTAATATCTGTTACCAATCTTCCTCTATTTTGTATGTGGGTTACTGCCACAGCATGGCTGATGAGTGGTGTAGGTCTGCACCCATGAACCTGCGAACCCTGCGCCGCCGAAGCAGAGCACGCCAAATTTAACCACTAGGCCACGGGGCCGGCCCCCAGGAAATTTCCTTTTTAAAGCATGTTCTCCATTCCACAGAATTTTTTAGAAAATGTACAGACTTCCCTGGCAATCTGATGAAAGCTATGGAAACGCATGCTTACACGAAATGCTGCGTAAAATTTCAGGAAGTTCAAGGTCTCCCTGCAGCTCTTCTGTGAATTCCCAGGTTAAAATTGATTAGAAAGACTCAAAAAACTTATAGCCCATATTCATGATTTACAGTTTATAGCTTTGAGTGAAGGGAGAGGAGTTGAGAGAAAGGGAAAAGGTCATTTTACTACCTATTTCTAAATGATACTCATTGCCTGCTAATGACATGCTGGGGAATATATAGCATAGTTTAGTTATCAAGAGTATGGAAGGAAAGTTAAGCAGCATAGCAGGCTCAGAGTCAGACTCCTGGGTTTATTTAGACTACAGCTTTGCCTCTCACTAGCTCTGTGCCCTTGGGCAGGTTACTTTACCTCTCCTTCTCTCTGCCCTTATTGTAAAATGGAGATAAATTGCACTTACCTCACAGGGAGTTTGAGGTTTAATGTGGTTATTTGTGTAAAGTATTTGGAATAGTAACTGGCATAGGTAGGTGATCAGAAAATGTTACCGATTATTAACCTTTAATGTCCTTCACTGTCCTTAGAAATTTTGTAAGAGGTCCTACACAATCTTCTGAACAAAAATTTCTTTTTAATGACTGAGTGTCACTGTTCTGAGTAATAAGTATTATACTGGGCCACAGACACAGATCATATAAGATATGACTAAATCAATCATAAACTGACTTCCATGGGTCATATTCAAATTGCAGACACACTTCATTTGATTTAGTACTTGGCACAGTATTTCTTTACATTTTGAATTAGATGCAACATTGAAAAATTAAAAGATTTTACCTAAAAATCCAGATTTCCAGTTTCTCTTAAAATCTAAAGACTTGGGGGGCCAGCTTGGTGGCATAGCGGTTAAGTTTGCGCGCTCCGCTTCGGCGGCCTGGGGTTTGCAGGTTCGGATCTCGGGCACAGACCTATGCACCGCTTATCAAACCACGCTGTGGCGGTGTCCCATATAAAGTAGAGGAAGCTGGGCATGGATGTTAGCTCAGGGCCTATCTCCATCACCAAAAAAAAAAAAAAAAAACCCTAAAGACTTGGCAACACTGGACTTCATTCCCACATAGAAATGATTTACTACAGTTTATATAATTCTCTTGGGAAAGTAACTTCCAGTTGATTTTTTGCCCTCTCTTTCATAACAGTAAACTAAAGAATATGTAAATATATTTCCCTCTTTTCTTTTTCTGAAAACAGTATTAATTTTATGAAAAATATCTAATCAAAGGCTAAAGATTCTCCCAAGTGGTTTCTCTTTATTCCTCTTCCCAGTCTTCTTTGACTGAATCAGCAACACTGAAAATATGTATTATTTTTAAAAGATGAATGAGCATCTAACTTCAATTCATTCTCCTACTGTTCTTAAGCTAAATATTTAAACAAAAATGAAGAGCATCTTTTCATCTTTTTAATAATTTGAGAAGGACTTAACTCAATTACTACAAATTCTTTGACAAGTAAAAAAGTACCCACCTCTGATCCTGTTAACACCCACACATCCATTTTCATTTTTTAGACAAATTTCCATGTCTAAACAAGAATATTAGTCTGTCCTTTTTTGGTGTATATATAATTATGCTTGACTATAGAGTATCAAGCTAACTTGACTTTTCTTGTCAACAATCTGAATTAAGAGCCCCAGAGATGATGTGGATAAGAGAGTAGATTATATCCTCAGCCCATAACACTGTGCACAGTAACATCCCTTTTGGACATACTAAAAGTACAACAGCGTGAGTTCTTCCCCTATTTTCCAAGAGATAGTTTTTCTTAATAATTGGTTCCTTAAAATTTTAGAGTATTTATTATAATTACCTATGATACTATTTTCCAACTTATACTAACATTTAATCTTCTCTTCCTAATGCAGCACAAAATTTGTATACACTAACTTAGAATTTTCTAATGTTCACAAATTTAATAATAGTTACAATTTAGTTCTCACTAGGTTATTGTGAGGATTCAATGAGACAATGCATATAAAAAAATTTTCTAATTTAATTTTGGTTTGTGAGTTTTATTATAATTATAGAACTAAATGACTTAGATTAAAAAAAATTCTACTATGCCTGGACTGCAAAACACCACAGACTAAAAAATAAATAAAGTGAAACTAATAAAAGGCATAATAAAAATTTTAGTGAATTTTAAAACGACATAATTTCTCTGACCAATCATTATGTATTTACATCCAAGTTGTACAAGTCTGCAAATTATAATGATGTTGAATAATATAATATAGTAGTTCTACTAGTTAATAAATTATTTTTCTAACACTATTTGTCTATGAATTATAGAAAGATAACCCCCAAATGAATTTAAATTATTTCAACATGTTTATTTTTATCTTTTACAAACTGAGCATATACAACACAAAAAGTTCTTCAAAAATGTTCATTCGTATGTCAGAGCCTACAGATTTTATTGGACTGTGAATTATAGGATAGTACAAGTGACATGAAATCTTAACATGACATTCATTTAGCCAAAAATATTAATTTGTTGGGAATCAGAATCAGTTCTCATTTCTAGTAAGTATCAAACATTAAAGCATCACTTTAAAGCTAGAGGTGGCCAACCATGGCCTGTGTGTCAAAAATGGTTTCTAGATTTTATTAAAGTGGAAGAAAGAAGGAAAAACGAGAAAGAAGCGGCAGCTAGAGACCATATGTGGTCTGCTAAAATATTTATTATCCGGCCCTTTACAGAAAAAGTTTGCAACCTCTGCCTTACAGTATCTATTCACAAGGCAATAAATAATCAACCAGGAGTCTCTCTTACCTGTCCGAGTATTTGTGAAAAGGAAGTCTTAACCGTCACCTAGTTTAAAATAATCATTAAAAAAAAGGTTATTTTCCCTAAACTCCTCTAGTTCACATTTTATTAAATTGAGCACTTCTGCATATCTCTAAGCAATAATCATTAATTTTTTTTATAATGATAAACCTAAAGGCACTCAAGATCTTAAAAGAATCCTCTGAACCACCAACATTTAATCTCTATCACGTGTATCTTTACTGTTCAGTGTATTTTCCAGTGTCCTAATTCTTTGACAATTGGATGAATGCTGTGGTACATGTGGTAAACTTTTACTAACTAAAATATTTAATTAACCAGAATATCTTATTACCAGATCACGCAAGCTAAAGGAATTTATTGAATGATTGAGTCCAGAACCTATATATATGTTTGCTGAAAACTTAAGCACAAAGTAATCAACCTACTATATAACCAGAACTTTAAAATCTCATACCTACAATTGTATAGCACTAAATACAGTTACGCTAAACCACTTCTGAGTAAATTTCATAAAAACCGATTTCACATGATATAAGACCAGGAACCAACAGAACATATTTAATAAAATTTAAGCCAAACAATATTAAAAAAAAAAATTCATCATTAATTATCTCTACCATAAATACACCTTTTTGATATTAAGAAGTATGGGAAAAGGAAATAAATCTTTCACGGGGGAATTATAAAATGACTATATTTGATCAAAATATGGACTTTTTGAAAGTATAAAGTATTTGTAAAAAATGGACATATTGAGAGCATGCAGTATCTGGAGCCAAATTATTAACACAAGTCTTACTATCTCTGTAATATTAAAAACATGAAGGTACAAGTTAAAAACCATTGCAGCCCTGCAAAATTCTTCAGTGTTAAAACAGAAAGTAAGATATCAAAGCATTAACAAACTCCAAGAAATCTAAAATAACTGACAATATTGGTCCAACTGAAACTTGGTTGTAGGAACAGATTCATTTGATCTACCAATCCTAGTTACCCTAAGAAAGTCAGTTCTAAAAAGAATCCAAATACTTAGGCGTTTAAAGCAGCTGAGTAGAAATAAGATATTTAACATAAATCAGAAACCTGTGATGTCACCACCATTGAAATGTGTACTTCAAACACTTAAATCTGGAATCCTTAGAACGTGGCATGTTCTGATAGAGAGAGGGACTCTTTTAGTTCATGAATCCATAAGTAAATAAAATATGACTCGAGTTTATTTCCCTTCTCTTAGCACAAACAGATCTACTGTGATTGTAAAACAAATACAAGAGGCACTAAATTGCACATATTAATGACTGACAGAGCTTAAAATAATTACTAAAAAGGAAAGAGACCCTTAAACTTATTCAGTAGAGCTAGAAACAAATATGCATCATGTCAATTACTGAAGTAAAGTCATGTCAACTGATTTCAAGATGTTCTTCAATTTATAGAGGATTATGGACAGTGGGCTTCCAAATTTCGAAGGATAATCTACAGTCTCAATTTTTATTTTATTTTCTATTACTTATTAAGATGTATACTATCAACGGTCCAGCTAAGGAAACACTGAGGTAGTGCTAATGGGCAAAATGGAGAATATTTAAAGTATTATCAATGTCTATTTCTCATATTTACTGGCTTCCACATCACCATATATCTGAGGCTAATATAAATATATTTTCGATTTATTCCATAACTAAACCTTAAAGATTAAGCAAACAGACAACTTACCTCATACTGACAGTCTGACGATGTGTACATTTTTAACAATGCTACATGGCTATCATTTTCTGGTTGAGCAATATGTAGTTTCAGAGAAATTTCTGTGGAGGATGGAACCCTGAAAAGATACATATCAACTCTCAAATACAAAATGCTGTTAAACAACCATGGCTAAGTCAATCCTCAGCACAACACAATGAAATAATGTACAGGAAGCTAGATGCCAGACACATTATTATGGATGGACATTTTCTAGTCACATCACAGTTGTGTGAATGCTCCCTCTAGTTATAGGAGTTGGGGGAGAGGGTGGGAAGGGGTTCATGTTTCAAGCAAGTAAGGTTTAAATTTTAGATCATTTAAATAAGAATACTGTACATTATCTTATTATATTATCTTATGGGCACAATGCTACTTAAAGGACACCTACATTTTACTAAGAGGTATTTTAATAATTTCACTCTGATTTAAATAGACAAAGTAGTATTCAAAACATGTATTTTTCAATGTAATTATGTAATATATTATTCAAAAACACCATTTTAAGGTAAATTCTTTCATATACTCACTGTGCAATGGTTAGTGAATCTTCATAAGACCAGGGAATATGAAGTTTATAGATACTAGTTATTTCTTCTGTGAAAACATAAAAGAAATATGTATTATTAACCTTATGTTACACTAAATGTTATATAAGCTACTATAATACCTAACTAATTACACAATTACTCATTTCTTAAAAAATAATCAGTAAGAGTTATATCACATAATAAGAAATTATGGAGGATTATTAAATAATAATGTTTAGTTAGACTTACAAAAGATATTAGAGCATAAGGAAAGTACTAAGAAACTGGAAAAACATTCAACAGCTAAATCTGAATTACTACTATAATAAGACAGCAAGATATACAGCATTATTAAAATGTGGATATTTAAACTGAAATAGAAGATGCTTACTATTAAGAAACAGTCTATCTTATATCCGTTGGAAATATAAACAGCTTTACTATTATCATATATTTAATTTTAATTCACATAAAATATACGGAAGAATAAGAAAATTCAAGTGAAGACCTATTGATTCTTCAAATGACAATACTATTTTTCCAGAAAATACACTTACCTTTGACTCCTGAGCACTTGCTTACTACGTTGATTTTAAAAGCTTGATATATCTAATAGAGTTTGACAACAAAAACAAAAAAGCAAAAGTTTATTTGGTTACTTAACTAAAACGGTAAAGTAAAATCAAATCCTTGTTGTAGTCAGGATAATTACCTGTCCGAAGTTCAGAAGCTCTATATTATAGAACAGGCCACTTGTATTTAATATCACTTTCCTTGAAGACAATCCTGTTGAATTAAAAGTACTGTGTTATTTAGAATAGCAAAGAATAAAAAAAATGTACTGATTGCTTACACATGGTTTAAATAATGCCAACAGATTTTTAATATTAAAAAAGAGTTTACAGGTTTTTGCTTCTGGTATGAGGAAGTAAACTCCTAAAAATCCGATCCTCCTTCAATAAACTCTGGGCAAAACATTTGTAATGACTTTCAATCACATGTATGTGTTTTAAAAATAAAGTACATATTTCCAATTTCAAAAAGGCATGTTTTCTTGGTAGAGCTCTTATTTTATAAGCTTGCTATCTTTAATGAGATAGGCAATTCAGAGTTGTCATTTCTGTACTGTTCTGAGTATTTTCTACTTAAAAAAAGGGTGGGGAAGAAATAAAAATCTTAAAATAAGTTTCGTCTCTCAAGTAACACAGATTCTTTTCAGGAATGGAATATAAAAAAAATATTTAAAGGTTGGGGCATGCCAAAAGGACACAGGAGCCAACCCAAAAAGAGCTCCCAATATCCAAAGCTGGAACAACTTAAGAAAAAATTGTAAGGACAGTAGTGGATTATAACCCAATGAATAAAATAAATATCCATGAGTCCGTACTGACATAAATAAAAATTGAATAAATAAATAAATGGGGGAGAAGGGACAATTTTTCCTTAGGAAGAATTCCAATAAATACAGAATACCAGTAATAATTGCTTCAGACTAGAAGAACCAATGGATGCTAAAATTAGTGGGTTATTTTGAAGAAAAATAAGATACATACACATTCTCAAAATATCTCCCCCAAGATATTCATTAATTACAAAAAGGAAAGCTGTAACTTTATAGTGGAGAAACCTGGCAGACCCTAGCTTAACCAAGTAATTAAGGTTAACATTACTAGTAATTAGACTTAGTGACATCCTGTCACTTAGTGACATCCTCTGATACGATACACTGGGAAGTACACATCGCTTCTGTGATAGTCTTGCCAAAAATGCATAACCTCCATCTAATAATAAGAAAGAATTAGACAAATCCAAATAGAGGGATCTTCTACAAAATAACTGATCAGTACTCTTCAAAGGTGTCAAAGTTATGAAAGACACAGAAAGACTGAGGAACTATCAGAGATCAGAGGAGACTAAGGAGACATGCCAACTAAATGCAAAGTAGGAACCTGGAGAAGATCATCGGTGGAAAAACCAATGAAAACCAAATAATGCCTATAGTTTAGTTAATAGTATTATACCCATGCTAATTTCTTAGTTTTGACAATTGTATTGTTTATGTTAAGATGAGTGAAGGATATAGGGGAACTTCGTACTCTTTCTGTAACTTTTCTGTAAGTCTAAAATTATTTCAAAATAAAATTTAAAAGAATATTTAGTTATGTGTATTTTACCAGAATAAAAAAAAAATGTAGAAAAATCTTCAAACCTTCATAGGGCAGACAGCAATTTATACTTTATAATAAACCTTTTATAAAAAGGGCCAATATGTATTATAAATTCACATGAGAACACAAACACACAAACACATGATTACCTGCAAATGTATGTGATCATGAAGAAATTTCTTTTAAAGTTCACTTCTCAGAAGATGACTGCTGGTCCAGTATTAAATAAGAATCAAACCACTGAACCACATCATATGGTTATTATAAGAGCTACACTTGAAATACACAACAATATTTAGTGTTACAAGGCTCTGCTTTACCGTGACTACCTAGCAAAATAAATCAGTATTCTGTTAAAAATAAAAGCCATTCTTAAGATTTCCAAAATCAAAGTACTTACCAAAGGAAAAAAGATGAGTTACAGGAAGCTGTATGGATCTCGTCTCTTTTTTAAAGAATTCACAATCTACAACAAACTGAAATATAAAACATTGATTTATTAGGAAAAAATAGAATTAAATTTATAAAATATCTTCACTTGATGTTTGAGTGGAAAATAAAAGTAAGAAGGTATTATCTATCACACTCTAACTCTGGCTATATTTAGATGGCAAGAATTCCTCAAGAGGAGATGCTAGGCTGAGGAAATTTGATGAAGGAGCTTAACTTAATTTAATACATAAAGTATTAGAGGGTCATTTCTCTAACAACAGATTAGTATAGCAAAGTTTTCTTGTAGTTTTAGTTGTTTACAGAAGAGCGACCTTAAAGCATGGATCAAAGCATTAAGAGCCAATGTTAACTCAAAATTAACTAGGGATTTAGAGAATACATCTCTGAATACTTTCATAGTCCAAAGGAAATGTGATTTTGTTTTTTTTTTAATCCCACATTTATTATGTATCTACAGTCTAATTAGACTACAAAAGGCTTTTGGAGACATACTGCCTTCATCTACAGATGGCTAGGTTATTTGTATAAGATTACTTCAGGCTAAACAGTGTGTATAGTGAATAGAAAAAAGATTTATGACTAAGTATGAAGCAAGAAAAAGAAATGCTATCTCAAAAAAAGTAAACCTAAAATATGACATCTGCATCATTACAATTTGTTGACAAATAACATTTCTACAAAGGCATAAGGAACTCTGCTCTCAGCTGTCTACACTAAGAACAGTTTCATTAACATAATCTCCACAATGCAACCAAATTACTTTGATCTATAGGAGCTGAAGAAGAAATTAATCTGATGCTTAACTGTAGCTAGCAAGTAGTTTGCTGTCTACAGAAAGCAGAAAGCCAGCAGGGTCTATCCTAGGCTTTCCCAATAACTGCACCTTGGATTGTCTGAAGCAGTGTTATTTTGTTTGCCTCTTGGGTGGATTTTTTATTGTTTTGGAAAGTGAAACACAGATGAGGAAACATGCTATTACACTGTAGTACACACGTGAGGGAATAAAAGGAAAAACTTGTTAAGGGGCTTTGCTTTTATTTTTCCCTACTTATAAGGCAAAGAACACTGTCAGATATTTTCATTATAGAAAACAGCTGTTACAAGATTAGAGCAATCATTTATTGAACAGGATTATTCATTATATTTTTACAGAGCATTTTTAGGTGAGATATTGTCTGAGACAGGGAAGTAGCTTTAAATCACTTTGTACAGGTATTTAAAATAACACCATTTTTACTATTGCTTAAAAAATTTGGTTATTCCTTTTATAGAATAAACTCTTACCTAGGAAAGAAAGAATTCAAGGGTCTATCTCTGAAACATCCAAGATAAGTACATTTCTAATGGACTTGTTTTCTGTCATCAAAAAATGCAGATAATTCCATATTTGCATTTCAAAAACTATATTATCAGTTGACTCAAAAAATTTTAAAACTGCCTATTTAAATATACGTATCCTTCTGATGGGGGGTTATAAGAGACATGTAGAAATTATGAAAGGCCTAAGTTAACATCCTTGTGAGATTGGGTGTGCAACAGTAGAGTCAGCAGTGTTACTTTTCCAAAGAGCATTACGACATATTTTGTATTTACTGGGCTGCTAAGACTGTCTATTTGCGAAAGGCTCATTAATTTCTTGGAATAATCAGAAAGGGCCTTCCCAAATTTGGGAAAGATGTTAATTCATTCAAAACCAACTTACCTGACAGAAAAACCCTTAAAGAGAGCTTTTAGTACTGAAGATGCTGAATTACCTCTCACTTGAGCTAAGCAAAACAAAACAATGAATCCATTATAAGGTACTTGTGAGACTCAATCTTTGAGATGACTCCCAACTACATCCCCCTTTTCCTTTTTCTTTGAAATTTTCCTAATGATTTTGGCCCCAAATTTCCTCAACTTGCTCATTCAAGAAACATTTTTTTACATATTTATATGGTAGTCACTAAAGGTTGAGGATACAAAGTAGAACAAAACCTATCTGGTTCTTACCCTCAAACAATTCACAATATGGTGATGGCAAGAGAGACATAAACATGCAAATTATAATTCAGCATAATAAATTCCTCAAAGAAGTTATAAACAAAGTATCATGGGAGTAAGAGGTTACTGAGGAGTTCGGAAAAGGAAAATAGATCTAGCTTAGGCTAGATCTTGAAGGATAAACTTGTCGGGTGAAACGTGGAAAGGGGAGCAGAGTTACCTCCATTCCCTTCCTTCCGCGACCCCACTTCTCTCAAAAATCACCACCCTTTCTTTCCTACTCCCACTTCCCTAGTACAAGCCATCATAACCGCTTCTGAGGTGCCTAGCCTCTGTTTCTAATCCATCCTGCACCACAAACAGATTCATCTTCCCAAATAAATAGCTCTGATCCGATTATTACTATGGTGAAAAATCTTTCAGCTCCCTACTAACTCCTGAATCTTCCAATCAAGGTGCTCTACAATACGGCCATTATCTACTTTTCCAGACTTTTCTTCCACTACTATTCTACCCACAGTGGCCATCCTTTTAAAATTACTATTTACTTATTCACTGTTATCCAAACATACCCCACACTTTCACACTTCCATGCTTGGATCTCACTGTTTCTTTGTCTCAACAGTGCTGTTCATTATAACTTTCTGCAATGATGTTAATATTGAGCATCTGGAACGTGGCTAGTACAACTAAGATACTGAATTTTTAATTTTATTTAATGTTAATTAATTTAAATTTAAATAGCCATATGTACTAGTGGCTCCCATATTGGACAGCACAGGTCTAGAATGTTCATTCTACCTATAAACGCCCTAACTATCCTTTAAGGTAATTTTAAATATCACCTCGTAATAAAGCCTTTCTTGATTCCATCAATCAGAGGTATTTCCCTGCTTCACACTTTTCACATATTTGCTATATTCTGATTTGTATTATACATTTTGGGGTATTTCTTTTATTCTCACTCTTCCCTCTGCTTCCAAATATATTTCTCTCTCTCTACTCAACAGCATGTAGCTTTTTGAGAAAAAAGTTCATGCCTTCCTCATTTGTGTGCCTCAGATCTTGCACATAAAAGCATACTCAATAATTAATAGATTTTGAAAGACGGATAAAGTAGAACTAGCTCCCACTTGGAATAAAGAGACTTGGGTTTATTCTGCTTAGTTCAAGTTAGAGTAGGTGATCCTAATGATTTAACAGTTTTAGGTGGATCACCAAACTAGCTATTGTTTTAGGTAAGCCCTATGCTGAAGAATTCATCAAAAAATAACTTACATATTTAGCATGAGTATCCCCAAAACATTCAACAAGCTTAATCCATTTGTTACCTTACTTCCATGAATAGATGGTACATAAACAACAAGATGAGACAAAGACGGATAGTCTTGAAGTCTTAACGTCAGAGACTAAAAAAAGATGAAAATAAAAAGCTGATTTTATTTCTTAGGGCATCTAAAGCTTAAAGCACGTTAAAACAAAGATAAATTACAAACACCTATTTCTTACTTAATAAGTTATTTAAAAAGCAGATTTCAAACTTTACATTCAGTACTTCATAAAATGCTCATGTTTCCATTTTCAGGTCAATTAATCCCGCTCAAAGTCAAATTCCTAATATTATGTAAATATGGCCTGTCAAAAATATTCCTTAAAATGTATCCCTGTATGTAAAACAAATGACATTTAACACTAAATTTAATTATGTTACAAATTATTTTCAGATTTGGTGTCTTTTATAATTTGTCTCTTTGCTTCATATAGTGTTACAGTATGATTTCTACATTTATTTTGGTAGTATATGGCAAAGAACACTCAATGGTTGAAGAATAAATGGACGCTAAACATGATGCAAGAGCTGCAACTTAATCTCAAATGGTTCTGATCTAGCCCAAGTAGTCAAGAGCTGCTGGCTAATGATGTATATAAACATCATTCCCTGGAACTTATTCAGCAAATGACATGTAGACACAACAAGGCTAATAATGCACGTCACCAAATGAACATCTGTTTTCTTCTCAAAATTAAGACCAGATCCTATAGTCCAAAATTTGAGAAATGAGTAGATAGGAGACTGGTGTATTAATGAAAAGCCAACCACCAAATACAGTTTTTAAATCCAGTTTTTCTCTCGAAGTAGATGTGGGAGTGGGTAGTTATATGTTGTAACAACCTGTGTGCATTAAGAAATTTCTGCAGACACTTAACTTTCTCCATTGTTCTTCAGAAGCACCTATGTAGGCAAGTTGGACAGAGGCCCTGACGCTAAAGAACTGTTAACGAGTGGCCCTCTAACAACTGGACCAGATTCACCTGGGAGTGCTTGTTAAACTCCTGGGCTGCACTTCAACTTACTCAGCAAAGTCTCTGCAACACTTATAAATTCTAACGTAAATTAAAGGGCCTTAAAAGGGCTACACAAACCATAGCTACAGGCAAGTGAGATCAACCAGACAGATAATAGTGTGAAAGATAAATTAATAGAAAGAACCATGGTTACTCTATGTAGCTATCCACTCTAATAGCTTTTGTTATTTATTCTCAAGAATAATTTTTTTCTCAAGAATTTTTTTTTTTAGGATCAGAATACTTTAAAAAGGTATCAGTATCAAAATATGTTTCCTTATGAAGTTCCCATATAGTTATAATGTCAGTAAGAATTCGACAATATAACAATATTCATGAAATTGCTACATTGACAGGTAAGGTTAATATGAAGTTTGGAAATTTTTCAGTGTTTAGTAAAACTGCAAGGGTAAGATGCGCTCAATGCCGAGGCCACATACACAGGAAATCAAACACCAGCGTTTAGATGTCAGAAACCTCTAAGTTCTGCTGCCATGTTTCGGGCAAAGCTGTGGTGCTAAAGTATGGTTTAGGCAAAATGGTGACTAGGTCATTTTTCTCATATAACTTAGATTTCTTATGAAAGTTAATTTTTTTGTTTGTTTTTAGCAGTAAGTCCATTTGGGCTTATCAAATTCTTGGCCTGCTGGGCTTTGTGTATGGTTTTAGAAACCTCTTCATTGTACCCATGACAGAAAAGTTCCATGTGATTGGTATTTAAAAGCTGAATTTAGGGCCGGCCCCGTGGCTTAGCGGTTACGTGCTCGCGCTCCGCTGCTGGCGGCCCGGGTTCGATCCCGGGCGCGCACCAACACACCCATTCTCCGGCCATGCTGAGGCTGCGTCCCACATACAGCAACTAGAAGGATGTGCAGCTATGACATACAACTATCTACTGGGGCTTTGGGGGAAAAAAATAAATAAATAAAAATTATAAAAAAAATAAATAAATAAAAGCTGAATTTAATTTTTACGAGTGCTTCACTGGAGGCTTCCATCTATCTACTAACAGTCAGTCAATAGAGATGCCAAAAATGATATGATTCTCATCTGATGTTACTTTTGTTGAGGTGATACAAATATGAATAAAATCTGCAAAATTTTTTCACTTTAACCTTTCCAATCCCTTCAACTTCATGGCAAAATAATTTTGTGTGCTTTTTATAAATGGATAACACGTATTATATACATAATTTTTATTTTCATGATAATGGAAAAGTTTGTTTACATTTAATAATTACAATCGTCTTCAACCAAAAACACCTAATATTGCAGAATATTATAATCCTTGTTTTCTAACTTCTGTCTTCCATTTCTCCCCCTAAATTCCAGTAGGCTTTTAATGCTGCCTGGCAATCTCTATCAGCATTCACCATAAAAAGTAAGCAGCTGGAATAGCTCATCCTCTTGCTGTTCAGCCAGCTGTTTCTCACATTTAGAACAAACAAAACAGGGGCCTAGAACTAGATGAATACATTGCTTAATCTTGGAGATTAAAAAAAAATATATAAAGATTTTATGATTTAAGAAATAACTTTAAAAAATAGAAGCAAAGTAAAATTGTATCAGGTTTTTAATCACTTATTTCTTCCTAATTCTTAAATTACAGACTGAATAGGATATCCAAATTAGAAAGTCAAGGAAATATTTAATATACCTTATGAATGATTGATCAGTAAGTATATCCTAATACTTTTGTTTGTTTTGCTCCTGCCTAGAAGGTCAGGATAGAACCAGTGGGCGACTTTAAAAATGTTCATATGAGTCAAATCATTTCTCTACAATATTTGTCTCATAAATACAAAGCCACATGAATGAATATGCACAAGCTAAGACTGACCAAGGTCACAGAAAAAATAATTGCAACCATTCCAAAGTCAAGTGTGAGTGACTTAGAATTATTCATTCTGTCGTAATTCCTCTCTGTCAGTATGTTGAAGTTCCCCTCTGTTGGTATAGTACAGACTCGACTATGTATACAGATAAATATAAATACCCATGAACATAAATAACTAACTGAATTGGAGTGGGAGATGACTGGGACCAACCAGATGACTTCACTTCAAGTCTATGAGTCTAGTACTTATTATGAAAATATATTTTATTTTTAAAGTACAGATTTACTTAAAGACTAAAAACTATCAATCCTGGCATAAGATTATCAGTTATAAACACAATTTGGAAATTAGAACAGATATTTTCATCAAATTTTAGCATTGTTTTATTTTCTCAACAATAGATTTTGAGAGTATGCGAATTAGCTTTTTGTCAAAAGACTTGCTGACCTACTAGAGTTCCTTAAGGAAATCACTAACAATTATTAAATAAATCCTATGGAGTACCAGCTAAGGTAGAGAGTTATCCAAGTGTTTGACCACAAAGTGATGTTGAAGCTGTTCTGCAAAATTACTTTCCGTCTCTTTGAGATGCTCTCTTCCCTACTAGGTCCTCTTCCAAAATGAATTCTGAGTATACCACTCAGCTTATATTTTAAGACAGACCATTCCAAACATACCCTCAAAATGAATTTTAAAAATTTATCTAGCTCTTGTTATGGTGCTATAGCATATAGATTTAATTTTACTTAAGCAGATTAACTTATAGTTTTTAACCTCTGAAAGCTAAAAAAAAATTGCATGTTATTCTCTGTTAAATGTATTCCTAGAGAAAATATTTCTAAAATGTATATTAGCAAATCTCAAGTTTATTTAATACCCAAATGAATTAACAAAAGAACATATTCTAAAATGCCTATAGGCTGATGCATTTTTCCACCTGGATATGAAAATTCTAAAACCATAATTTACCTTAATTGTTGGCAGCAGTTCAGCTTTCCATGATAAATCAACTCCTTGTCGGCTTTGAAATAAATATGAAAATATAATTACAGGACAAAAATATTAAAGTATTATAAATAGGCTTCAGAGGAAAAAGAAACCATGTACAGACCTATCAGAAAGAGTTCAAATGAACTGAAGTCTAACAAGTCTAATCCAATATACTCTATCCACACAGTCCCTTTGGGAACAAAAAATTATTTTTCCTAGCAACCAACTATTCCAATGTTTACAAAAATTACTGATATGTTAAGTTCCTCTAATTTTCATTTTAAAACAAATATTATAATTTAGTATAGTAGCAAAATGAGCTTAAGAACGTATGGAGCTATTCTAAAAGCATGATTTGTGAGTATTGTTTATGTTGAGAAAAATAATGGAGGGCCTTAAGTTCAAAAGACTTACCACATAGATGTGCTGTTTATGCAGCCAAAAATCCAACTGTTTGTATCCTGTTGATTAATAACACAAAACAAAGCACACTAATATTGTAGAAAATAATTATATGAAACAGGCATCTTCACCATTTTACTGTTATATGATAGGGTCAGTAGGCACGATGAAAACATAAAATAGCAACTTGTTATTTAGAATCGTATCCAAGATGTTCTCAAAAGTCAAATAGGTTAAAGGGAGGCAAAAAAGTCTCATGTCAACATAGACAGGTAAGAAGCAACCCAGAGTAGCAGTATGAGAATGACCTGATGGCTATCTCTTCACAGCACACTGCCTAAGCATTTCTAATTTTTGAGCCAACACTTTCAGAGTTTGGCAATGTCTGTACTTTAATTAGGTAGTTACATAGTAAGTAACCTACATTTTAACAAAAATAGAAGAATGAACAACTAGAGGTGGACTTTTATACAAACAGAAAACAATCCAGAGCCAAGTAATTAAAATAACAATCCAAGTACAGCTATTTAGTTTACCATTTGAGTTCTAATTTGATTACCAGGCAGATAACTTCTATGCAACTGAGAATGTGTTTGTATTGAAGCATAATTCCAAGGGCTAAAGACTGAAGCTAGTTATTATTTTATCAGAGCAGCATGGGAATGCTGCAGAGATGGCTGTGATATTTTAACAACATTATGTATTTCGCTTCAGTCATTTAGGAGCAGTATGACCTAAGAGCTTCACTTAAACTTTTAAGGAAGCAGTAAGAGCAATACTCCATGATCTGATGATCCAACTACTGAAATCCTACCAGGGCATAAAAAGATAAGAAACACTGCTCAGACAGCTACACAAATTTTTCCTTAGTATTCAGATAGGACAATTAAAAAAAATCAATCCTTTCATTCAACTAACATTTATAAAGTCTATTCCAGGGCCAAGGAATTATGCTGAGCCCTCAAGCCCTCTGAGACATAGTCTCTGCCGTCATGCAGCTTAAATAAAATATTAAGGCATTTTTCAAGAATACAGAAAAGAAAGCTGAAAGGAAACAAACAAAAAACAATGTGGTATTTTCTCTGCTCTTCCCTGCTGGCAAAATACTTGTGTGACTTCTGTATCATTGCCTGTGCTTCCCAGAACAATAATGTGGAATTACAAAGCAAGGCAACAGAACAGATCTGCACAGCCTAGACAAAGAAAACCTCTCAAGATCCAACCCACTTTTGTAATGGGTTTTTGCAGCTACTAAGGGAGCCTATCTTCAAAGATAGCCCTTATTATGAAAACTGCCAATATTCCACACTACTTACTTCAGTGTATAGGGAAATCTGACCAATCCATCAACAGACTGAATAAAGTATTCTTCAAGCCCACCCTAAAATATTGTGTTGATATAACCTAGAAGGCGTCAAAAGAACAATTTCAGTTCATCTAGTGAACATTCCTAACTCAACTAATTACAAAAATTGTATTGAAAATCTTTAAAAAAAATTCACTCAGGAATTGCCAACTAACTGCCGAAGTATATAGAACAGAAAATGCTACTTGATCATAAAATTTATAGATCTAAAACAAAAAATCTGTCTACAGTGAAAAATGATGCCCTTGATAGCTGCTAAAATCTTTAGGTGAAAAATTGATTAGGAACTTTGTAATGGACAGACCACTCTGAGACCACATGAGTCCACTGATAAGTCCTCATTTATGTTCCTAAAAGTGGGACAATCAGATACTACAAACCTCCTGATGAGATAAGCACACAGCTCTACTTATAAAACATTCCTACCACAAAAAAATGAATCTGAGTCTAATCAAGATTCTAGAGCTAACTACCAGTTTACAGAAAACATGTTAAAAGATACAAGAATACAATCAGCTAAACGCAGAATGTAGGAAATTCTGTAGAATATATAGCCCACTTTCTTGAACAAATGAATGGCCTAGGGGAAAGTAAGAGAGGGCTGTTATAAAAGAGACTTAAGATTCATGCAATGTATGCAAATGCATACGTATGCACTTTGTCTGGATTCTGATTCAGATAAACCAACTTAAAATTTAACTGAACAGAGGAAAATTGAACTGGATACCACCTGATATTAAAAAAACAGTAATTTTGTTGGATGAAATAATGGTATTATGGTAATGTGTAAAATTCTTATCTGTTAAAAAAACATATTGAAGGGGGCCGGCCCGGTGGTGCAAGCGATTAAGTGCACGCGCTGTGCTGTGGCGGCCCGGGGTTCCCCGGTTCGGATCCTGGGTGTGCACCGACACGCTGCTTGGCGGGCCACGCTGTGGCGGCGTCCCATATAAAGTGGAGGAAAACAGGCACGGATGTTAGCCCAGGGCCAGTCTTCCGCAGCAAAAAAGGAGGAGGACTGGCATATGTTAGCACAGGGCTGATCTCCTCACACACAAAAAAACAACATATTGAAGTATTTATGGATAAAATAATAAAATGCCTGGAATTTGCTTTAAAAATGCTTCAGTCAAAAAAAAAGTAAGGAAGGGATAAATGATGTAAGAATGGTAGAGCGTTGATAACTGTTCAAGTTGTGTGATGGTTACATGAGAATTCATTATCGTATTTTCTCTCTACTTTTATGTTTGAAAACTTCTATAATAAAAATTAAAAAAATTTTTTTAAATTCACCACATGATCTTATGCTCATTAACACCCATGGATCTTAATTACAGAAAAGGGATCCTCTAATAAGCCAAATGGATAATTTGCACTTTGGCAAAGATTTTTCTCAATATAATACTGACACTCTGATTTGAAATTTAGTATCGAATATGGCTATTTTAAGCCATCACTCTCAGGGCCAGATTCTCTTGGGATAAACTGCCCATCCAGATTTTAGGCTGAGAGATGCTAGTCTTTGTGAGAGATGCAAAACTCTAGTAATTTCACTAAAATTAGTATCCATTAGCACCTAGCCCACAGTGCCCGCCTATTATCTTTTCTAAAGACTTTAGTACATATAAAATGGCAGTATCTACCAACTAATAAATATATTAGATCCTAGTTCTAAAAAGTACAAATACCCTACAAAAGGGAGAAGAGGGAACTTAAATTATGAAAAATGCAAATATAAAGTGAAGAATCCTGGGACATGCCAAAAAAAAAAAAAAAAAAGTCAGAACAGAGAGAAAAGAACTCAAATTGGGAAACAAATTCCTGAAAGTAAGAAATGTTGATAAATTATTATTTAAACATTCTTAACATAACAAAAGCATGCGATACCATCTAACATTTTTTACAATGCCTAGCATAGTAGGTACTCATTAAAAAGAAATACACAAACATTCATCACTCTGATACTCTAAGTCTAGATAACAGTAACAAAAAGTTACTATACTATTTTAGAGAATATTTGGTATAAAACGTACTACAAATATTAGTGTGAAAGCCAAGGGAAAAATACAATTCACCTTATAAAATTCCTACAGAATAGCTTTGCTTAAATATATCTATTCTTTAAAGTACTAACAGAATTTTAGAATTAAAGAAGCTTTGAATTGAATTCCTTCATCCTAAACATAGTGAAAGTAAGGTAAAAAGACAGGGTGGGAGACCTAAACTAGAGCCAAAGGTATAATTTAATAGTATATTATCAGTTACGGAAACATTTTGATTAATATTTTTCAACCAAAACTCTCTGTTCCAGATAAATATTTTTCAACTGATTAGATTTAATAATAGTTTACAGCTAAAGATGAGATCTACTAGATATTAGTTGAATTTGAAAAATGAACAATAGTTAGCCTTTTAAATTTACATAAAATATATCAATTATCTTACCAGCATGGTGCTCTGACAATAGACATGAGTGTAGATTTTTCTATGATTTGCAAGAGGAAACGTAAAATATATCTTATCAGATTCCTAAAAAAAGAGGGGAAACACAATAAAACTATCATGAGAGTGGATAATTTCATCATTCAAAAATCCAGATGAAGCAACGAGTAATGATTCTATCATTCCCGGTGTTGTTGAGCACTAATATTTTAGAAATAAGAAGAAGATGATCCAGATATTAGACAGAGAGATCAGGTACAAACCATGTAGTCCTGAATATGTCTTAGAAGTATCAGTATGAATGTATGTTTTTTTGTTTTGGTTTGGTTTTGGGGCCTTATAGTCAAGATAAAATACATTCCTTAGCTCCATCCAATGAAAAGGCATAGAAATGCTAACCCAATAGCCATAAACAACTCTAGTGCCAAAATTATGGTTTTTAGACACCATTTCCCAAATAATAGAAAGAGTTCCTTAGGGAAAAAGCTGATTCAGGGTCTGGGGCAGGAAATGTACAAAATAAGCTGAAATATCTTCTCATATTAGACAGTGAGGAAACTATCAAAGACAACTAAAGAACAGCTATATCAAGAAGATTCAGGAGCCTAACTTGAAATGGCTTCCATGGGTCAAAGATAAACAATTATAATACCAACTTTAGTATCAAAGATAGAACAATTTTAGTATTTTAGTTTAGATGGAAATACAAATACATTTAAATCCATGAGTTCATAATAATACCAGAGAAAAAAACTCTCAAATCACTTATAGTCACTGATGGAGGACGCTTGTGACCCAACTTACTATTCCGAAAACTAGTAAATATAAGATCCAAAGATCCAAGAAATTATCATTTTTTCCTTTATGATTTGTTCCACTTTTGATAAATTTATCAGATGAAAAGTTTTTCTATACAGTGTTCCAGTTAATAAATGAAGAAGAAATAATAAAACTAGAGTATCACCATTTTTCACCCCCCTAAATGAATGAATGATTCCAGGCCTTCTTCATCAATAGCTGCTAACATCACAAAAAGAGAGACAGTCTAGCAAAAACAAAAACCTGAATCTGATCAAGTATCTAGTTCCAACCACTGAGTCACAGGAAAAGAGTAGGCAAAGGAATATGTTGAATGACACTACAGGAATGCAATCAGCAAAATCAAGACTGTCAAACTCTACAGGACAAATGACTTGTTTTTCTCAACAAATAAACTGCAAGGAATAAGACGGGGTGGAGGACGTATTAGAGATTAAAAGAGGAATAAGAGACATCAAATAATAACCTGTACACCTTCTTTGTATCCTGATTTAAACAAATTGAAAAACAAAGAAACAATAAAAATTTGACAGTTGTGATAAAACTGGAAAATTGAACACTGACTAGATATTTATTACTAAGGAATTATTATTAAATTGTTTTAATGTAGGAAAATGATATGTGGTTATCTTTTTTAAAGAGTCTTTAACTTTTAAAGATAAATACTAAAATATATTTTTTTAAAAAAGTAAAAAAAATCTATTGGTGGTATACTTACATTGTAAGCCACATAGGTCCATTTGGACACTTTTACTGGAACCCACATAGATGTTCCTAAGGTAAAAAAAAATTAATTTGTTTGGCTTTAAAAAAACATTAAACAATTTCTTTTATTGAATGCTGGTGAAATACTTCTCAATCAAAACAGGAGTTGAAAAAGAAGTGATGTTCTGAACATTGACTATTTTAAAATAGAAAATCTATTGAGATGTTCTCTATAGGCTCATCACCAACTAGCAATCACATCAAGTTAAGCATTTTAAATCTATTTGGTGTCTTTACCTCTAAGGAAGTATCAATAGATGGAAATAAATACTTCATTTTCCAAATAAGACAAGTAATTAAGTAGAGTATGACGGGTATTATATTTAAAAGCAAAATTTACCAACAAAAGATAAGCTGTTAATCCAAAAGAAGACTGAAGAATGACTGATACTGAGAAACTAAGTCAAGAATAATATAGCACTTATTTTATGTGACTGTCAGGAGAACAGAGACTTTAACTCTATCTTTTAAATTTTTCCACTTGTCACGTTATTTTCAGGACAAAACTTTTATCAGCGTCATCTTACAAACTGCTTTTCTACTTTTTCCCTTCTTTAACCAAGAACCTCGTAAGAATCTATCATAGAGAAATTAATACAAATAATAGGATTATAGTACCTGAAGTATCACAGTTTCAGACTTTGTCTGCTAATCACAAGTTTACCCCAAAATAATAATCAAATCTCTACTTAAAATTAAAACACGTTATTATCACCAACCTGTTAAGTCAGAAATTATTGCTGGGTTTTCCTCAAAGTGTTTTGCTGGGTGTCTTATAAAGTGGTGATTCAATACCGACAATTTCTTCTTGGGATTTTGAGTTATCTAGAAAGAACATTGATACATTCTGTATCCTTTTATATCCATTGTGATAGTTCAATGAAACTTTGCTGGTTTAATGATAAGGGCCAATAGTGACTTACTCTGGGCCAGGCACTGTTCTAAGTGCTTACCATGTTATTAACTCATTTAATCACTATAAGAACTCTAGGAGATGATAACCTTTCCATCTGCATTTTAAATATGAAGAAACTAACGCACAGAGAAATTAAGAAACTTCCCCAAGGTCACACTCTTATTAAAGAGTTTGGGCCAGGATTCAAACCCAGGCAGTTTGGCTCCAGAGTCCATGCTTTTAATCATGATGCAATAGTGTCTTTCGAGTAACAGTTAAGAACAAAACATATCAAGACATATAGAACCACAAGAGAACTTAAGAGAACTTCCAGTCTAGTGATTCCAACACACTAGTTTTCAAACTCAGACCAGTGCCAATCCCACAACAAAGAATTCCTGGTCACTAGAGAAAATAGGAATTGCTAACTGTCCTTCCTTTGAAACTACTTTCCTTTACTCTGTTCTACTTACTTTCCTTGCATCAAAATATTCTTTCTTTCATGAAATGAAAGTGAGAGCAGACAACAGGATTTTCTATTGTTGTCCTAAAATATTCTAGCACTATAAATGCTGGCAACTTTATATCAGTCCCTTCCTTTAAAAAAATATACTGGGGTGTAGAATCCGTCTAGAATCTTCACTACTCAATTGTCTAGTTTAAGCGTTGAGTGATATTTTCTCAACAACATAGCGAATGACAATGAAACGACGGTGAGGACCCAGGTCTACTAAATCTTTTCAATCCCTTAGGAAGTCACAATTAAAACAACATTGAAAAACGAAAACTGTTCGCATTCCATGACCAATTCACAGTGTTAACTCTATGAAGCTGATTTACTTTAATAAATATACTAACTTAAATATGGTATCTTGTGGCTTAAAGTGTGGTAAAACACAGAACGATTTGGTTCTTTTATTGCATTCTTCAGGAGAGAGCTAAGTATTTATCATTCCCTCTATCAGTAGGTAAGCAGCTTTCTGAAGGGTTAAGGAAAAAAATACAGATACTACCACACTCCCAAGAGAGAATGCTACAGAAGCAAGGGTCCAAAACACAATGATAAGAAAAGCATTACCTAGTGATCTATCAAAAAGGAGGTCACACATACTAGTCTTTCAAAGAATTGGAGCCTTCAGGGAAAAGAATTCATAAATATCTGGGCTGCCATACTTTGTCATAATGAAAAAAATTGTCTAATACACAAGGAACTTTTCCTCCAAAAGGAAAGGCCAGAGCCATAGTTCATAAAACGTTTCTATGGAACAGTGATGTACTGCAAGATGACCAGAGGTGAAAGCCTGCTTAAGATAAATAATGGCAATATCTTCCCAATTGACAGAAAAAAAATTTGTTAATGCATAGAATTCTCTGAATTTTGCTGAAATCTTTGGTACCCGCTACTATTTATCTGCTAGCTGACAAGAAAGAGATGAAAGAGTAATACGATATTCCTATAAAGGGCACTATGATTTCCAGGTGTCCTACTAATCGAACAACTTGGAAAATCACTAGTTTGGAGAATTTATATGTGAAATCTCATTACAGAAAACGTTCAGCTTCTAGAAGTACATAATTTAAGTCTGGTAAGCTTGGGTTATTCAATGAATGTAGATATTTTGATTCTATCAGAAAGGTAAAGATGTTTTAAAAAAATTTTTAAATATCTAATAAGATGGTTCATGAGTCTACAATATATTAATAAGAAAAAAAATGATAAAATAGCTTGTAATAAGTATTTCCCTTAAGTTAAAAAAAGTTAGAAGGATATATATCAAATTTTAAACAATACAGGGAAAGAACAGGCGGAAGATTTAAGGTATCCTTTCACATTTTCATTTTCATTGTATTCTATTAATTATTAATAGTGGTCAAAGTATTATCAGACAAAAATAAATAAATTTTGAGATTAATTACAGTAATATAAGGTATAGGCTTCTATTTTCATCAAAGTAAAAGAAAAAAGTATTAAATCCATCACTGTTGTAACAAAAGCTTTTACTTTACTGAAATAATTTTTACTTTAAAAATACATACTTGCTTCGTATCGGCATCAATAAGATCAAAGAATGCTCGAATTGTAGTCAACTGCAATTGTTTACACCTAAGGAATAAAAAAAGTGTCACGAAGAAACTTTCTTTAAAAATACACTTGATACAAACACATACAATTCTATTATTTAACAGAATATTTGAGTTTCCTTTAACGCTGTAAACTCTAAAATTATTTAACAAATCACTATTATTAAGCATCTATCTTAAAGTTGACACATATAAAAATAAAGCAAATTAAATCTTCCTGGATGTTTGACAGTAGAACTGTCAGGGTCCCTCTATCTCCCCTGAATCTCCTTGTCTACCCCAGCTATTGATGAACTGTCAGCCCGTCTTCATATGCCTGAACTGTTGCGGTTCTTGCAGACACCAGTTATTGCACAGGCAGAGGAAGGTGAAAAGAGAATCTTTAAGCCAAAACAGAGAGATAAAATAATAGGGCCTATGTATTTCTTGACCCATATTTAATCTATCTCTTTCTTTATTTATATTAAGGATAAATCTAATTCCTACTTGGTTTTCCATGTGCTGCTGCCTAGAATAGTCAATGCTACATTAATCAAGTCCATGCTACATTAATCAAGTCCCCGAGTTTGGTGATTGGCCAAGAGTTCAGAAAGTCCTACCACAAATGCATTTGATTTTGCCCAACTATGACAAACTCTAAAATTTTGATATTTAACACTAGCTTTATTTGAGGCTAATGCTACTGGTTCTTTGGGAGATGATTTTATAGGTTTTCAAGGGAACCATGGTCAAGCTGAGACAAGAACCAAGGTTAGAGTTCTAAGCACCTAAGATAGTCCTTCTCGAAAATCCTTATTTATTTATGGATAAAGCTCTAAGAAAGCTAACACACCAGTCAATGTATTGATGAGAAAAGAGGACCACCACAAGTCACCAAAATACGTTATATTAACTCACCACACAATGGAGAGGTGGTCAGTTGAGACCCAGGTCTTAGGCACTGCTGAACTCTAAAAGGAAAGAAAAAAACCCAAAAATCAAAGCACATTTGTTATTCTCCAAAAGGTTTAAAATTCTTACAACCTAATATTTAGAAACATGTTAACATTAGTTTCACATTTGTTATTCTCCAAAACGTTTAAAATTCTTACAACCTAATATTTAGAAACATGTTAACATTAGTTTCACTATTTTATGATGCATAGACATTTTTAAATGATGCATTCTTATAAAAAGTGATCCAAAAATATTAAGTTATTTCCTGCAAAAAATAACATAATTCTGTCATTACTGCTTAGTCAAGCTTAAATTACCTTTAAAAATTATTAAAGCTATCCATAGATTCTTTACTGAAGTTTAATGTCTAACTCTTTATTACTCTAATAAGAGACTGAGTTTAAGATTCTTTAATAAATCATAGTTTATGGTGTAAATTACAATAGATATTTTATTAAGTTTAGTTCTGACCAGACTACTACTTGATAAATTCTAAGATGTTATTTCTCAATCAGGGTATGCCTGTGAAATACCTAGGCCCAGGAAGACTTTTCAAAATAAATATGTCTGATGACAATTCTAAACCTACCAAATCAGACTCTTACAAGTGAGGCTTATTTATTTTGAAAAAAACCCCTAGATGATTAGGGATCATCTAATTACTGGTTAGAGACAGGAGGACAAAGGATCCTAAAAAATATAACTCTTTGCAGAAGGCTTCCTAACAATGGTACAACACTTTTCAAGAAATAGATTCCTTTTCATAACAGGTAATGACCTCCCTGTGAATAGCATCTTACTTACAACAGGGAAACATTAAGTAAATCTGATATTATTCTCACAGTCTCTCTCTGCACCATCAAAGATACAATGAGCTGCACTCACCAGAACTGCCAAAACAAAATAAAAATAGGAAACAACCTAGATGCAAGAAAATTTACAAAGGCTAAAATGCCTCTTTAATAAATGAGCTAAAAAAAAAAAGTAGGTATTTATAATTTCTAAGGAGTCACTGTCATCCTTGTACTCTGCAAATAACGTGTATTTGGGTTCTAGGGTTTAAAGTGGGAGGAATCTACAGCTTACTTGTGAACTTACAAACATTAGATCTCATGTTTAGGAATTACTGCTGACAGCTTACTAAAAAGTTGCGACAACCACAGTTCACTGTGGTTCTAAGATTATATTAGATCCTCAGTAGAGTAAGAACTCAGAGGAGAGAGCCTTTACCATTACCAAGAACATAAAATTGGTTTACTTTCATTCACTGTAACGAATGCTTCTGTGCTAGAGTTGAAAAAGGGAAAGGCAACACAAATAATAAAGGTAGTTGCTCATCATCTTTGTGGTGAAACTGCTGAATGTCCACCAAAACCCATTCTGCCCTTCTTGCACTCTCGGCTAGACTACATCTCTTAGCCTCTCCTACTCTAGGGTATAACTAAGTTTTCTCTAATGGTATGTGAGCAGGAACAACATGTGGCATTTCCAGGCCTGACTGCTCTTCTTCACGCTCTTTCCCCCTTCCCATAGTTGAAACAGTAATGATTAGAATGACCTTGGAAGTGCAGCATTCAAGGAGGTGCCTACTGTCAACCTGGGTCCCTTAACAGGACTCCTTCAAAAACTACCTACCAACTGAAATACACACCTAGGGCAGTTATATGAGTAAAACGTAAACTTCTATTGTGTTTGAGTGCCATTGCCTGCATGAGTGTATATTACAGCAGTTCAGCCTACCCTTCTAAACAACTGTGGTCTCTAACTTAAATAATTTTTCTAGTCCCAATGCATGTAAATGTCATTTCACTGTTCTTGAGACAATCATTAAAAATTGTTACTTCTTAATAATTGTTTTTTAAAGTAAAAACTCAGATTATATAATAACCAGTTTTGAGAAAATTCCCTAAGAAGTAAAATATTTTCATCAGAAATACAAGCTGCCTTGAAAGCAATACATTATCAAATGGATTAGAAAAGAGGGACACACACCCACAGGCGCGCACACACACACACGATTAAAAAGACTAGTTTTTTAAAAGATAAGATGCAGGATGCGGTATCAATACAGCATCATGCTCCAGACCAAATCTAGGAAATAAGTTATATCCAATTTTACACGACTAAAACATCTGTTTACTAAAGACTTGACATTTAGTGTTTTGAGGACTTGCAGCAAATATCTGCCCAAAATATTCAAAATCAAATAACAAGATTCATACCAATAATGAGGTGTGAGAGATTTACCAATTTAGTTCCAAAGCTATTATGGCTACATCACAACTCCTCCAGCTATAAGAAAATGGTGGGTAATAGCAGAACAGCTTAATAATTGTTGTTCTATGTATAGTAAGCATTCAGTAAATACCTGTTTAATGAATGAACAGCAATCTAAGGTGGGGCAATAGTAGATGAGCTGAGAAAAGGAGCATCTATGAAGAGAACAACTATGAAACAAAGCACTATCTCCTAAGAAGCAAAAGGAACTCTATGGATTTTCTTTTAAGAAATTAAATTAAGTTATATTTAGAGATGATTGTGAGTTAAAATGTTAAGATCTTAACTGAAGACTTCAAGGTTAAATATACAAGAAATAAAATAAGTCCTAAAGGAAACTTGAACTCACTTTACAGAGGCTATGTACTCCAGTTAAAGACCAAATACTTGATGTCCTAGCAGGGAAGAATAATTAGCAAATTAATTAATCAGGGTTCTGTTTATATTTTCAAAGCTATTTTTTAAATTTTAAAATCAGTAAAACTTCACTCAAGTTTAGCCTTCAGGAGTATGTGGTATGTTTGATATTCCACTACTATTGTATACAGCATACCACTCAGGTATAACAAGAGGCCCTTGGACTTGAGCCCACACTTTCTTTTACTTACAACTCTAATGAATGGATAGGCAATTATTTTGAACAAGAAACAATTATTCCTCATAAGTAAGAGTCATTTTCACAAAGTTTCTAAGATCCTTTTCACTTTCTATGGACACAAGCATCCATGCCTCTGGCTTCCCAACATATTCATATTCATTCATTCATATTCTCTCTCACACATGCATGCACACATAGTAGTACTACACCAACTCAGCAGTCATTTCCAAGCAGCTACATAGTATTTCTCCTTTCATGCTCCACTATGTCCATCATGTTATAATTTCAGTAGAATCTTAAAAAAGATTACCACAACAGATAAGGCACTGGTATGATGGCTTAATTTTGGTAGAAAAGTCAGTCCCGAACGAACTTGGTAATCCCGGAATCCGCCAGCTACAGAAAGTGTAGTTAAATTTATGTGCCTAGCATTCAGAATCCAATAACTGTTTACAGTCATATAAAAATCTGGTAGGAAATAAAAAAGACACATTAAAAATTAGTCGTCATTCTTTGCAACAAGATATCTATAATACTAGTATTAAACTGAATTTCTGTTTAAGCCATCTGAATCGTCTATAAACAATGCTATTCACATTTCTCTATTTTGAGTAAAACAATTTCTTTACAAATATTCTGCTTTCCCCATTAAATCAGAGTACAAATACTAAGAGTTACTAAAGGTATCAAGAAAGAAAAAACATATCCAAATTTCATTAGCTTTGACAAATCCATATGCTAACAGGTCTCTACATTCCACAAGGATGCTGTTTGTTCATGAGCTACAGTACCTACAATATAGCAAGAAGAAAAAACCCTAAAATTCTTCCAAAGATAAGAGTTTATTATGCTAAAGAGTTAGAATCTTCCTAATCATAGCAGTGTCCCCAGTTATGAGGGCTTAGCAGCTCTCTACTTCAGCCAACCACCCCCAAGTACCATTTAAGTTCTTAAAATGCAATCTATCAGGACAATGACATTCACATTAGTCTTGGGACTATGCTGCTATGGAAAATCTGAGGGTTAAGAAGGTTCTACCCATTTAGTGTAATAAGTAGTTCAAAGCGAAGAACCTGCAGACAATTTTTCCACTTTATCTATAGAAGGTAAGAAAATTTTAGCCTCAAAGATTTGAGGCCAGCGCAGGAGAGTTCTCACTTTCTTTTCTGATTATCAAAAGTTAATGCATTTTGGAGCCAGCCCTGAGGGCCTAGCAGTTCAAGTTTGGTGCGCTCTGCTTTGGCAATCCAGGTTCGGTTCCCAGGCACAGAACCACACCTCTTGTCTGTCAGTAGCCATGCTGTGGCAGCAGCTCACATACAAGAACTAGAAGAATTTACAACTATACACAAGTATGTACTAGGGCTTTGGGGGGGAAAAAGGAGGAAGACTGGCAACAGATATTAGCTTAGGGCAAATCTTCCCCTGCAAAACAAAACGAAACAAAAACTTAATGCATTTTGACCCTGGCATTTCACCCCATTGAGGGCTTCAAACATTTTGCAACAGCAAACTCCTCCCATTAAAGATCTCAGCAATATTTACTTAGATCGTGACCAAACAGCCCCGTTCCTAAAATCTGCAGGACCTGGGGACAAGAGTACCAATGGGGTACACACTGCCATATGTCTAAATATTTAAAAGTCAAAGTCCAGTTAACAAATTGTTCAATTACATATATTTTCTCTGCCTACCTTGGCAAATATATCATTGAAACAATAGGGAAAATCAGGTTCAAATTAAGAATTATAGGACACCTCGGAGTTGCTCGCTGGATTACGGCAGCATAGAGAGAGCAGATCTCTGGCCCATCACTGTGCTATCCTCCTCTCTTCCCATCTCAATTCCAGCCTGCATCAGAAGGACCTTGTGTGCATATCCAAGCTCTGTCTGTACTTCATGCAAAGCCACCCCTTGGCCACAATTCAAGCTTAGGGTTGTACATACCTGCCCTCAGGACAGATCCAGGTAAAAGGCCCGTACAGGCCCTGGAAGTGGGCTTGGGGCATATGGGTAAGGAGGCCTGGTTACCTGGATCATGGTCTAGAAGTAAAGGCACAGCCTCCAAGAGGGGGGGCTGCTTGGGCCTCTAAAGTGCAGAGCCCAGTGCAGGGTTTCCTTTCCCCTAGTTAAAGGCGGTATTTCCACCAAGTATAAACAGGGAATCTACTTCTGGAGGTCATATGAGTACCTGTCTCCTAAAAACCTAAAATCTACCACCCCTTGACCTTTTGTTTTTTCATTCCAATTCTGGCTTACTGCAATAAAAAATAAATACAGAATAAATGGGAAAGAGGCTTGTTAATTGTTGGAAAGCATCCTGATCCTAAGAATCACTTTCAGTCTGAGCTTTTTAGAGACAGACCATCACTATCCTTCACAACAATAAAACCCGACTCTTGTGAAAGTTCTTTCCTCAAAGAATTTTTAAAAATATATTTTGAGTAATTCTAATTTAATCTACATGGCTCACCTATATACATGAAATAAAATGCAATAAGAGAAAGAGTTCTCATGTGTGGTGACAAGTATTATGACTTGTCTGTCTTTGGTTTTTTTTCTAAACCTAGTAATTATTAGAATTAGTAAAACAGATTTAAACAATTTCAATAATAAAACTAAAATTTTTTATTAAAAGATTTCTACAGGCAAAGTTGTAAACATAATAAGGAAGAAAAATCAAACTTCACTCTAAGTACTGTTGCACCAGATATTCCAGCAAGTAAGGTACTCCTTGACAATGTAACGTTAAGACGAGTGCTTTGGAAAACTACTTTGGTTTGGAGTCTCTAGGGTATATTTCTCACTTAACTATAAACAAAATTTTCATCGCAATTAAGATGATGCAAATTTTGATAGGGTAAGAAGTTGTGTAAATTTACTGAAAAGAATTATTTCTTTCTAAAGATTTTCTTCTACACATACAATATTCTAATAAGCATAAAGTAAAGATAATACTTGACTTTCTGTAATAAAAAGCTGACATGGCAGGCATTTAATTCTTATTCTGTGACATTATCACTATTTGATTAGACGACAATAATCATAAGCTCCCATTGTTTATTCAAAATCCCTTGAAACATCATAGTATTAACTATAATTTTATTTCTTCTGTTATAGTAACATAACTCAATTAATAGGCAGTATAGCATGTGAAGGTTAAGACCACAGGCCCGGGAACAAGTTTGCCAGGGTCAAACACTGGCTCCACTGTTTTCCTGCCATGTGACTTTGGGCAAGAACTTTATCTTGGCCTCTTTTTTCTATCCATAAACATGGGGATACCAACGGTACCTACCTCAAAGGACTGCTGTAAGGATTTAGTGACATAATAATATATCCTGTGAAGTCCTTAACACAATACCCAAAATACAGTAAGAGCTCAATAAATATGAGCAATTCTACCTCACTATATAAAGCGTTAGCAGACCTATTTATTTAAAAACGACATTTCTACTATTTTACTTAAATATAATCTTACTTTGAATACAGTACTGGAAGTTAAAACATAGGAGATACAAACACGCTTTAAGAGACGGAGTTATCCTCAAGAATAACCAAACCGAAGCCCAAGTGCCTAGGGATCATAAGACACATACTATCCATGTTAAGATGCGAGGGACAGAGAAAACTAGCAGCAGTGTCAATTATGAGCCTAAGCTGAAAATCACAGAGAGAGATGCTCAGAACTGGAGTGGCTGATTTGAAACTGAGCCGCTTCACACATGGATAAATCTGTAGCACACTCTAAATGCAGCAGCTACAAGGATATGTTTAATCCTGAACAACAATGGGGAGGGCAGTTAGTGTTTATGTAACAGTACTCACCTGTAATAAAACGATCTAATGGCATTACCGGAGCAACATGAGGTGTGGCTTGTGTAATAAGAAGATTTATCAGATCTTGTTTAAAATTTTTCAAGGTAAGCAATGCTCTCGCAACAAGGCCACCCATAGAATGACCAATTATTGCCACACTTTTTGGAGCAAATTCTTGACCCTATTAAAAAAAATCACCAAGGTATAATTAAGGTTTAGTATCATAATAAAAATACTAAATACTTCTATGAGTAATTTTATAGAAAAAGAAAATTAAGCTATTCATATAACCTCCCAACACAAGATACAGAAATACATTTTCATATACTTCTAATTAGTGTATACATAATATTTTGTGTTCTGCCAAACATCTTTAATAGCTATGTTTTGGTTTTCTGAACTAAAATCATAACAGTCTAGCAAATCCTGTTTTATCATTTGCTATATTGGATGTAAGAGGTGTAATTATATTTGGTGTATACCAGAATATGAGATTTTGTAGGATACAAGAAGTCAAATCATTTATTTCAAACTGGAAATATTTCACAAAAGCCAGAACAATTATTACCATAGCAATATACTACCTCATCATATTGATACTTCTTATCTCACCAAATTCTTCTCTATTGTGCACCTGGGTTTAAAACCAGCATTCCATAACATTTATTCACTGACAATTACATACTTTATTTTTTAAATAAGTATTGCTTTTTAAAAAATCTTTTGTCTCCAAGTAGTATCCTCAGTTCCACTACCAAACTTGTGCTCATCACCCTCCACACTGATCCTTCATCTATGTCTTCTCTCCTGTTACTATGAATAAATTGGACCTTGTGCAGAAGAGTTAACATAGAAGGCTTGAGACTGTTATCCTCAGAATGGACTGCACAGAAAGTTGGTTCTGGGCTACAGTCTGGGATCTTACATTTTGGGAGAGTTCTCATCATTCCCTAAGTGATAAGAATGGCTCCCTGTTCTGAAACTGTTTTGCAAACAATATGGTTTATGCTGAACACCTGCTGTCCTTCTGGTTGGGATTTTGGTATGTGCTAGGTAGAGGGTGTCTACAGGACCAGTCCCCAATAAAACTCTTGGGCACTGAGTCTCTAACAAGCTTCTCTCATAGACAACACTTCACACACGACATAATTCATTTTGCTGTAGGCATTAAATGCATCCAGTGTAACTCTCCTGTGAGAGGACTTTTGGAAGCTTGCATGTGGCTCCTCTGGACTTCATCCCATACACCTTTTCTCTTTGCTGATTTTGCTTTGTACCCTTTCACTGTAATAAATCATAAGTATAACTATATGCTGAGTCCTGTGAGTCCTCCTGGAGAATCAAGGATGGTCTTGGTGATCCCCAACACAGACCAGACCTCAGCAAAAGCCAAACTCTACGTATGTGCTCTGAAACCTATCCCTTTTGGCCTTCTCAAGTACATCACTCCAGCAATTCTCTCTTTCTTCTTACATCATTTCTCCTTCTCTACTAGATCATTCTTGCTAGTATATACTGTTATTCTCCCTTAAAAAATTAAAACAACTCTTTTTAATCCCACTTTCCCCTCAGTGACCAAACCTTTCTCTGTATCTCTTTAAAGCAAAACTCTTCAAAAACAGTTGTGGGTACAGCACTTGCTGTCTCCCATTTCTCAACCTCCATACACTCTTAAACCCACTCCAATCAAGCTTTCACCCCAACCCTCCTCCACAACTGCTCCCGTCAAGTCACCAAGGAATCTAATGGCCAGTTCTGCATCCTCATCTTACTTGACTGTCAACAGCATTTGCTATAGTTGATCACGTCTTCCTCTCTGAAATGCTTTACTTAGTTTCCTTGACAACATACTCTCCTGAGTCTCCCTTTACCTCACTGGCTGCTCCTTTTTAGTCTCTTGCTGGTTCCTTCTCATCTCCCCTCATCTCTTAATACTGGAGTGACTCAGGCCTCAGATCTCTTCTTTCATATCTTGACCCTATTAGTGATGTCATCCAATCTCACGGCTTTAAACACATCTATATGCTGTCAACCCTCAAGTTATTATCTCTAGACTTGACCTCTTCTCTTGAACGCTAACCTTAAACTCCAACTGCATACTAGCTACACCTGGGATGTCTAATGTGCATCTCAAATCGAACCTGTCTAAAACTAAATGCTTAATCTCCTCCAAATCTGTTCCTCCTACATTTTCCCCAATCTCAGTTAATGGCATTTCAATCCTTCTAGTTGTTCAGCCAAAGAATTGGGGGTCATCCTTAACTCTTCTTTTTCTCTCACATTGCCCCTCTATATCTGATCTGCTAGCAAATCTTGTTGCCTCAACTTTTAAGATTTACGCCAGTCTGACCATTTCTTATCACCTCCACTGCTACCAACTTGATTCAAACCACTATTATTTCTTGCCTGAAATACTACAATAGTCTTCTAACTAGTCTCTCTGCTTCAACTCTTATGTCCCTTCAGTATCCTCAAAAGCATCCAGAATAATACTGTTAACACCTACATCAGAACATGTCCCTCTGCTCAAAAACCCCTGCAATGGCTTTCTAAATTTTTTCAAATAAAAGACAAAATTCTTAAAATTGCCTACAAGGCTCTCTAATCTGCCTTTCCCCCAACCTCTCTGTCTACTAACTCATTCTGTCTGCTCCAGCCGTACCAGTCTCCTTGTTTTTCCCCAAATACAGTATGCATGCGCTTGCCTCATGTATTGGTTTACTCTACCTAGAGTACTCTTCCTAGATATCCAAATGGGCTACTCCCTCATGCTCTTAATTTGTATTAAACTGTCCGCTTCTCAACAGAAGTCTTCACTGAGCACCCTTATTTATAATTGTAGTCCTCTACCCTCAACTCCCTATCTCCCTTTCCTGTTTTTCCTTCCTGGCATTTATCACCATATAAGATAGCATGTATTTTTCTTATTCATGATGTTTACTCTCCGCCTCTCCTCACTGGAACACGAGGTCCACAAAGGCTTGGATTTATGTTTTATTCATTGCTGTATTTGCACGCAGACTCACGTGACGAGTGAATGAGGTTTTCTTCATCTAAAAATGTCCTCTCACTTTCCCACATCCAAATTCTATCCATTCAACAAGATTCAGCTGCCTCTCTCTAACTCCTATCGTACTTGCTTGTAATAGGAATCTTACTTTTAAAAGCTTCAACTTAAAAGAAAGTTTATTAGTTCTATTAAAAAAATATAATACTTAGTCAGAGAAAATCTCGAAAAAAACAGAGAATTAAAAAAACTACCTAGGATATAACATTAAAGACATGATTGTTTATTGTGAATGACACGGAAATAACTCTCACTTTGCAATCACATCTTATTTCTTATCCAATAAATATCAGATACATAAAAGGTCCTGTACTTAATATGGCTTGTTTCCTCTTAAAACAATCAGCGTAGACTTAAGCTCAAAAACAACTTGCTGTTGAAATAATTTTAAAATGCTGGCTTATGCAAAGAATCACGATGTCTAAATTTCATTTTCAAGATGCACAGGAATACCTCACTGCCTGGATTACTACAGCTTCGTAGTTAAGTCTTGAAATTAGGCACTGCAGGTTCTCCAACCTTGTTCTTCTTTTTCAAGACTGTTTGCATTTCCATATAAGCTTGTCAATTTTTACAAAAACACCTGCTGGTATTTGATTTGTATTGCATTAAATTTATTGGTCATTTTGGGGAGAATTAACATCTTAATTTTGAGTCTTCTAATCCATGAAGTTGGTCTGTCCATTTATTTCAGATTTCTTTAATTTCTCTCAGCAAAGTTTGCAGTTTTCAGTGTACAGATCTTGTACATTTTCATTAAATTTACCCATAAGCATTGTATTTTTTTGTGTGAGGAAGATTAGCCCTGAGCTAACATCCATTGCCAACCCGCCTCTTTTTCCTGAAGAAGATTGGCCCTGAGCTAACATCCATGCCCATCTTCCTCTACTTTATTTGGGATGCTGCCACAGCATGGCTTGACAGGCAGTGCGTCAGTCCATGCCCGGGATCTGAACTGGCAAACCCTGGGGCCACCGAAGCAGAGTGTGCAAACTTAACCGCTATGCCACCAGGCCAGTTCCAAGAATTGTATTTTTTATACCATTGTAAATGCATTTTAAAATTTCCCTTTCCATTTGTTCATTGATTTTTTAATGCTGATCATTTATCCCGTGACCTTGCTAAATTCACTTATGAATTCTAATAATTTTCTGTAAATTTCTCAAAATGTTTCTCTATATTTATGCCATCTGTGAATAGACAGTTTTAACTCTTCCTTTTTAATCTTTACTAATTTTATTTATTTTTCTGACCTTCGTGCACTAGCTAGGACCTCTGTACAATGTTGAATAGCAGTGGTGGGAGCAGAAAGAAGCCATAAAATGGAGAAAGAAACTACCTGGTACACAACATTAAAGACATTTGATTGTTTATTGTGAATAACACTTATGGAAATCTCCTTTTGTGATCACACCTTATCTATCTTATCCAATGAATATTTTATCAGATACATAAATGGTTCTTAACCTAATATGGCTTGTTTCCTCCCAGTAAACTACGCATAATACTCATAATTCCTCACATTGAGGAAGTTCACTTCTATTCCTACTGTGCTGAGTTCTGTGTTGCATTTTCTTAAATCATGAATGGGTGCTGAATGTAGCCAAATGAGTTTTATTCATCTACTGAGATGATCCTATGACAAACTACATTGATTGATACCTGAATATTAAACCAACTTTGCATTCTTGAGATAAATCCTATTTGGTCATGATGTATTATACTTTAAAACATTGCTGGATTTGATAGCCTAATTTTTTGTTGAGGATTTTATAACTATGTTCATGAGGAACACTAGGTCTCTATTTTCTTTTCAAACAATGTGATTATCTGATTTTGATAATCAGAGTTTGTTGGTTTCTTAAAATGAACTGTAAAGTGTTGTCTCTTTCTCTATTTTCTGAGTTTGTGTAAGAAGGGTATTATTTCTTCCTTAAATATTTGATAGAATTCACATTGAAGTCATTTAACTCTAGATTTTTCTTGGCAGTAAGATTTTTAATTACACATTCAAAAATTTTTAAAAAGGTATACGGCTAGTCAGAGATTCTGTTTCTTCTTGTGTCTGTTTTGTAATGTATGTTTCAAGGGATTTGTGCATTTCATCTGGGTTGTCAAATTTTTTTGCATAAAATTGTTCATAATATTCCTTTGATAGTTTCTTAGCATGTGTAGGCTCTGTACTGATGTCCCCTCCTTCATTCCTGATTTTGTTAATTTGTGTCCTGTTCTTTTTCCTTCTTAATCAGTCTAGCTATGGGTTTATCAATTTTAAGGATCTTTTCAAAGAATCAGCCATTGGTATCAATTTTTTTCTCTACTGTTTGCCTGTTTTCCATTTCATTGATGCCCATTCTCATCTTTATTGTTTCCTTACTTCTACTTACTTTGAGTTTACTTTGTTCTCTTTCTCTAACTTCTTAAGTTGGAAAGTTAGATCATTGCTTTTAAACCAAGGTTTAAGGTTCTTTTCAAATATAAGCATTTAAGACTATAATATTTCTTCTAACCACTACTTTAATCTTATAAATTCTGATGATGTGTTTTCACTTTAATTCAGTTTAAAACATTTTCAAATTTCACCTGTGATTTTCTTTTTGACCTCTGGGTTATTTAGAAGTAATTACCAATATTTGAGACTTTTCCAGATATCTTTTTGTTGTTGATTTCTAATTTAATTCTGTTTAGAAAATATACCCAATATGGTTTCAATCCTTCAAAATTTACTGAGACTTGATTTATGGCCTAGCATATGGCATATCTTAGTAAACATTCCATGTGCATTTAACGAGAATATAGTTTCTACAGTTGTTAGGTGTAGTGTTCTATATATGTCACTAGGTTAAGTTGGTTAATAGTGTTCACATCTTCTATAGCTTACTGATTTTCTATTTATTTTATCAATTACTGAGAGAGGATTGTTGAAATCTCCAACTCTAATTGTGGATTTATCTATTTCTCCCTTTAGTTCTGTTAGTTTCTGCTTCATGAATCTGGAAGCTCTGTTATTAGGTGCTTACTCACTTGGGAACGTTTTGCTTTCTTTATGAGCTAACTCTTTTATCATTACAAAATGTCTTCTATATCCCTGGAATATCCTTTGTCCTAGAATCTATTTAACTGATATTAAGATAGCCATGCCAGCTTTCATATGATCTGTGTTTGTATGCATTTTTAAAAATTATTTTACTTTTAACCTATCTGGATCTTTAAAGTAGTTTTTATTTTCTAGTAGAGAGATGATCATTTAGTTGGGTGGGTCTTGTTTTTATATCCAGTGTGACAAGCGCTTCCTTTTAACTGGAGTGTTTAATCCATCTACAATTAAAGTAATTATTGATATAGTTGGGTTTAGCCCTATCATCTTGCCCTTTGTTTTCTATTTGTTCCATCTGTTTTTTCGTTCTTTTCTCCTTTTAGATTGAGTATTTCTCTTCCATTTGCTCTTTAGCTATATCTCCTATTTTGCTGTTGTTACTCTAAAAATTACAATATGCAACGTTAACTTAGTCTACCATGATTTAATATTACACCACTTCTTACCATAGTGGAATAATTCTGTTTACTCCTCTTCCCACCCTTTTCATGGTTATTACATATTTTCCTTCTAAATAAGTTATAAACCTCATTTTTTTTTTTTTTGCTGTAAACAAAATTTTTTAACCTTTTATTTTGGACCAATTAGAGAAAAGTTGTAAAAATACCACCGAGGGTTCCCATACACTTCTTACCCAGCGTCCTCTGATGTTAACACTTTACATAAACATACTACAAATATCAAAATCAAGAAATTAACATCAGTGCAATTGTATTAACTAAACTGCAGACCTTATTTAAACTTCACCAGTTTTCCCACTAATGTACTTTTTCTATTTCAGGATTCCATCCTGCATCCCACCTTACATTTATTATTTCTCCTTAGTCTCCTCTAATCTGTGATAGTTCTTCAGTGTTTCCTTGTTTTTTATGACCTTGATACTTTTGAAGAGTACTGGTTATTTTTATAGTATGTCTCTCAATTTGGGTTTGCCTGAAGTTTTCTCATGATTAGAATGAGGTTATGCATTTTTGACAATAATGTCACAGAAAGTACATTGCATCCTTCTTCAGAGCATCATGTCAAGGGGGCTCATGATGTCAAAATGTCTTATTACTGGATGTTAACTCTGGTTAACACGATGTCTGCCAGGTTTCTCCACTGTTCTCTCCCTTTGTAGTTAATAATAATTTTAGAAAAGATACTTTGAGACCATATGAATATCCTTTTTCTCCTCAAACTTCCACCCACTAATTTTAGCATCCGTGAATGGATGGAACAGCAATTACTGTGCTGTTCACTTATCGGTAATTTATTTCCCTCTTTCCTTCTACTAATGACAAAACTGCCAGTTTTTGTTACTCTGACAGCGTCTTTATCTTGCTCTCACTTTTGAAGGATATTTTTGCTGGGTATGCAATTTTAGGTCGTGTCCCCTTCACCCCCACCCCCAAGACTAAGATGTTCTGTTGTTTGTGGCTTTCGTTATTTCTGACGGAAACCGGTGGTAATTTTTATTGTTTTCCCTATAGGTAAAGGGTCTTTTTTCCTCTTGCTGCTTTTAAGATTTCTCTTTACTTTGTTTTCCAACAATTTGTCTATGATATATGTGTGATTTTGTGTTTATCCTGCTTGACATTCATTGACTTTCTTGGATCTATGGGTTGAAAATTCTTCTTTTTTTTGTGAGGAAGATCAGCCATGAGCTAACATCTGATGCAAATCCTCCTCTTTTTTGCTGAGGAAGATTGGCCCTGGGCTAACATCTGTGCCCATCTTCCTCTACTTTATATGGGATGCCGCCACAGCTTGACTTGGCTTGGCTTGGCTTGGCTTGACAAGCCATGCGTCAGTGCACGCCCAGGATCTGAACCTGTGAACCCTCGGGCTGCTAAAGCAGAGTGTGCACACTTAACCACTGTGCCACCGGGCCGGCCCTGTGGGTTGAAAATTTTTAATCAAAATTGGAAAATTTGGGGCCATTAGTCCTTTGAATATTTTTTCCTCTCCTATTTCTCGCTCCTCTTCTGAGGTTCCAATTACATGTATGCTAGACTGCTTAGTACTGTCCCACAAGTTCCTGAGGCTCTGTCCTTTTCATCCTTTTATCCTCTGTCCTTCATTTTGGATAGTTTTTATCGTCCTAACTTCAAATTCAATAATCTCTTCTCTAGTGTTCCACCTGCTTAAAGCCTATCTACTGAATTTTTCATTTCTGATATATATTGTTTCAGTTCTAGATTTTCCTTTTTGTTCTTTTTTTAAATAGTTTTCATGTCTCTGCTGAGATTCCCCATCTGCTCTCTCGTTATGTGCATCTTTTGCTTTAAATCCTTAATTTTGGGGCCAGCCCTGTGGCTTAGCGGTTAAGTGCGCGCGCCCCGCTGCTGGTGGCCCGGGTTCGGATCCCTGGTGCGCACCAACGTACCGCTTCTCCGGCCATGCTGAGGCCGCATCCCACATACAGCAACTAGAGGGATGTGCAACTATGACATACAACTATCTACTGGGGCTTTGGGGGAAAAAAAAACAAATAAGGAGGAGGATTGGCAATAGATGTTAGCTCAGAGCCAGTCTTCCTCAGCAAAAAAAAAGGATTAGCATGGATGTTAGCTCAGGGCTGATCATCCTCACACTCACACACACACACACACACACGCACACAAAAAATTCTTAATTTTGATATTTTTGAGGCTTTTACTTAAGCATTGTTAAGGTGGATCCTAGAGTAGCTCTTTCTTTAGGGGTAGGGTAGTCCTACTCCTATATCATGTCATTTCTGGGGTCTCAATTGAATGCCCAATGTGTTCAGACAGGTCTTCCCACTCTAGCTGGTCAGAACTCCTGTTTCCCAGCACCATGGGGCCTCTGAAACCTCAATTCAGCTCACAATTCCCCAGTAGCTGTTGTTTGCCAGGACGTGCACAGTGGCATACTAAGGGAAGAAGTGGCTCACCCCAGTAGGTAGTAGTATTTTATCCATGACACCGTTTAGAATTGCTGGCACAGAATGATTTTTAGTCTGTTTTACCGTTCTTTTAAATTTCTCTTAAGACATATATTCCCCCTTACCCCTTGCACCTGAGGTGGGCACACCCCACCACTTCCTCCTTCCTTCTTGCCTTTAGCCTCTTGTCCTGTGCCTATGCAGTGCAGCAAAGACTGAAAAATGCAAATTTCTAGAGTGCCTATCTCTGCCTAGTTCTCTTCTTTCTCATGCCCTGCCCCAGAGCCTAGTCACTTCAGCAGTCCCAAATTTCAATCTCTGCCTTCTTCAGCTCAGTGATATCAATGTGCTCTGCTTGATCTCTAGCTGCTTGCCCCATGGTCTGGAAAATGCTTCCAGGCAGACAGCCAGGGCAATCATGGAGCTCATGTGTATTCTTTCTTTCAGGGGTCATGTCCCTTACTGCTTGGTTGTCCAATACCTGAAAAGGTGCTTCAGATATCTTGACTAGTTTTATACTTGTTTACACACTGAGGTGGTCTACTCTAGTACCAGTTACTCAGTTATAACCAGAAGCAGAAATCCATACTAATGGATTTTAGGAAATATATTGCACTCCTAATTTATAAATAAAGTTAAAATTTTTTCATAAATAATTCACAAGAAAGTTTTCTTGTAAATTCAATTTAAAATTCAAAAACTGTCACTGAGTTCAAAACAGACTCCCACAAAACAAACTCTGTGCCAACTTTCCTTCAACTTCTATAAAAACAAATAAATGATTTAAAATATGCTGAGTCTCTTTAAAAAAAGATGCTAACAGGTTGATCACTATTGATTTGCAAGCTTATCCCACCTTATAGAGTTTGAGAATTGTTTTAATGCATTCATGTACAAATTTGGTCTGCTTCTGAAGACTTCCACCATACAGTGCCACCAATTCTTCATTGAAATTCACACTAAAGAAGTCAAAGTGGTACTTGAAGTCAATGTCTTCTGCTTTTCTAAGTGCAATAGAGCCAATAGAACGAACTGCAAAGGAAAAAGGCAAAGTGCACATTAAACAAAATGTTTAAAAGTTTCATCCATTCTTGCTTCAAAGTCTCTTAACAAATAACTTTATCTCACATCCTCAAACACAACCTATTTCAGGGTGATATCTTTTAATAGTATCAATTTAGAAGAACAAATTAATCTAGGAGTCGTATATCCTGTACCCTAAATACTTTTTTAAATTAAATACAAAGTGAACAGGTCATTCATTCTCTATATGCTTCCCCTTCAGTAGGGATAACAATAGCTAAAAGGGAGGGGAAGGATTCTTTGAAGAATAAAAAAATTAGGAATTTTGTCACACTTGAGAATTTTAAGAATGATAATATTCCTATAAGAAATGTCTGCTCATCACATGATTTAGATACCCATGCTTGATTTGTCTCTTTTTCTTACACATGACATCCAATCCATCAGTAAACCCTGTCATGCTCTACCTTCTTGAGGTTTCTCAGCATTTTCACCACTACCTTCCTAATCCAAGCACCATCATCTCTTGCCTGGACTACTCTAATAGTTTCCTAACTGGTCTCCTTGCTTCCACTGTTTTAGTTTTTGCTTTGTAAACCCTTTAACAGGATTTATTGTGAATTGGTTACATTAATTGGCATTAAAAATCACAGTGTATAGTTTAGCAAACAAAATACCTGTTTGCTGTTCAATTTTTTTAACCATATATAATTCACATACTATAGAACCCACCTTGTAAAGTGTACAAGTCAATGATTTTTAGTTTATTCACAGAGTTGTACAATCATTTCTGCAATCTAACTGTAGATATTTTTTAATCACCCCAAAAAGAAAACCCTGTACTCATTAGCAATCACTCCTCATTCCTCTTCTCTTCCTAAATCCCGGAAAGCACTAATATACTTTCCATCTCTATGGATTTGCCTACTCTGGACATTTTTATAAATGGCATCATATAACATGTGGTCTTTTATGACTGGCTCCTTTCACTTTATAATAATGTTTTCAAGGTTCATCCACTTTGTAGCATGTAATCCATTCCCTTTTATTACTGAATAATATTCTATTATACGGTTATATCACATTTTATTCATCCATTCATTAGTTGATGGACATTTGGGTTGTTTCTACCTTTTAGATATTATGAATAGTGTTGCTATGAATATTTGTATACAAGTTTTTATGTAGATGCATGTATTCACTTTTCTTGGGTAGATACCCAGGAGTGGAATTGTTGGCTCATATAACTCTGTGTTTAATATTCTGAGAAACTGCTAAACCGTTTTCCAAAGTGGCTGTACCATTTTACATTCCCAACAGCAATGTATGACTGTTTCAATTTCTTCACATCCTCAACAGCACTTGTTATTATCTGTCTTTTGGAGTATAGTTACCTTAGTGGGTATGAAATGAAATCTCATTGTGGTTTTGATTTGCATTTCCTTGATAACTAATGATATTTAGTATCTTTCCTATGTCCACTCTTGCCCCTTTACAGCATATTCTCTACACAGCAAAGCCAGAGTGATCATTTTTTAAAAATAAATCACACCCACCAGATTGGTTAAAATTAAAAATATAACAATTCCAATGTCAAAGGTGTAGAGCAAAGGGAAGTATAACGTACTGTTTCTGGGAGTATAAATTAGCACAACCAGAAAAATAAAAGGATACACGTAACCTGTGACATGGAATTATGTTTCTATGTATACATCTTGCAGAAACAACGGGCTTAGTGCTCCAAGATAAGAATATTCATTGTTTGTAATTGCCAATAAATGTAAACAACACAAATGTCCAAAGACAAAATGTTTAAACTACAGTATAGTCATACAACGGAATAACACAGAGTGAGGAAAATGAATGAATCATAGCTCCTACAGCAACTTGAATTTTAAAAACAACGTTGAGTGGAAGAAGCCGGAGAATACATACTGAATGATTATATTCATATCACAAAGTTTAAGAATAGCCCCAAATAAGCAGATTGTATTAGAGATGCATACTTAGATGCTAAAACTATAAAGAAAGTCAAGAAAATTACTACCTTAAAGTTAGGACTGTGGTTACATCTAGAAAGAGGGAAGGGAGTTTTAATCAGAAAGGGGCCCACAGTGGGTTTCCAGGGTGCTGGCAATCTTCTATTCCTTGACTTGGGTTTTGGTTCCATGGGTCTTCACCTTAAAATCATTTTTAACCAAATATCTATATTCTGTGCACTTCTCTGTATGTGTGTTATTATTTCAAATATGATTAACAAAAAGATCAGATTAATCATTTCCTACCCCAAACCCTCCAACAGTTTCCCATCACACTCAGATCAAAATTCGAAGTCTTTTCCATAGCTTATATGATACAGCCTGCGGCTACTTTTCCATCCTCATGTCTTTTCACTTTCTCTAGTCTCAGTGGCCTTGAATGCACCAAGCGTGCTCCTGCCTCAGGGTCTTCCCCCAAATAGTCACATACCTCAGTCTCTTGCTACATTCAGGCCTCTGCTCAAATGTCATCTCCTCATAGCAGCCTTTCGTGGCCATTCACGGCCACTTCATCTAAACTAGCCACTTCTTGACCCTGTTTATTCTCTAACCCTTACTCTGTTTATTTTTCTTTCTAGCTTTTAACATTACTGTCATACTTATTTGATGGCTGTCTTCCCAACAAGAATATAAGTTTGATGAGGAGAGAGACTATCTGTCTTGGTCTGTTTTAGATCCCTAATACCTAGAATACTGCCTGGCTCATGGTAGGTACTCCATAAATATTTGCTAGATAAATAAATAAATATGTAAGTAATTATACCACGTTGAAATAATTCCATGCTCATTATATAAAAGAATACACCATTTAATAACCAAAAAAGCAGATTTTAGCTGAAATTACTTCCAGATTACTTGGTTGTTATGACAGAAATAATTGCAATATCTCCAAGCCAACATTCATTTTGGAATCTGTACATCTAATTTCCCTCCCTCCCCTTTCTGTGTTCCTCTCAGTATTTCTAGATCTCTCTAACTTAAATAGCTCCAAAAGAAAGAAACCAATTTCCTCTCTTGTTCAATATAACATAAACCATTGATTTACTTCTCTAATCCAGGCTTCAGGTTCTGTTCTCTGTAACCTCCATTTCCAACATAAACCTCTTTCTTCTGCTGATTCCTGAATCCCTATATCATCTACTTATCCCACCCCACTCCATCTTATTCTTTTCTCCTTCTTACTCTTTGCAAAGTGGTCTTCAACTATTCTTTCTTACATACTTCTCACATGTACTTTCAGAGAAAATGTCACATATTTAAGTCTCCCAATATGCCTAGCTCAGTACTTAACACAGAGTATGTATCTGATAAATTCTTCAACTGAATTTTATAGCTTTCAAAATTTACTTCTGAGACTTACCTTGCTTATAACTTCCAGCATTACCAGGAAGAAAGAGAACTGGAATACCTGTCAAAGGGAGACTTTTGTGTTCTTCAGCATAGGATCCTTCTCCATAAAGATATAATTCATATGCAGGATAGCGTTTTGCCAGTTTCTTGGGAAGTTCTATTTTCTAGTGCAAAAAAATGCAATTTCACTTTAATCAATTTTATTAATACAATTCAGCCTTATCGTACCCAATTCTGAATTATATAATTTGAAATAGTACAATATAAAAATATTACTGATAAAACTGCACTTAATGCACAAAACAAATTCTACTTTTAGTTTATTCATATGGAGAACTAGTCTTGAATTATATGAGTTTTGAACCACGCTCCCTTCAGGAAAGCATAAGATGGGACTATCTGAAATTCTACTGAATATAAATTACTCAAAATAGCCACTGACAAAGGCAGAAAACACTTGTATATGTCAGCAAGTTACATGTTAACACAATTGGAAATGCATTTAATTTAGTATCAGTATCAATTATACTTAGAAATGACAAAAGCTTTCCATTATCAAATCAATTGTTTTTTGCTATTTTAAACTGTTTTGTAATGTCTCTCTTCTTACTCAGGCCCAACTATATATTCCAGCTGTTACATCATTCAAAGGAAAGTAAGTTTGTTTTATAATGCAGCTTTCTGACCTCTCAACTTAATATGCTTTGACCTAAAGTGTGCTTAACAAATTAATCTGAACCTTATAGCCATGTCTTGGTCGAGACATGTACACCCTTCTTTCATAAACATTCCAATGAATTAGCATCTGTTTCACTTTTCATGGACCAGACACACAGTTTGTCAGCAAGCCTTAAACTACTCTGCAATTCATATTATTGCATACCAAACAAGCCAGTAATTCACCTAAAATTTTTTAAACAAAATATAAATTAGGTCTTAATGTCATCCCAAAAAGGTAGGCATCTATAAAAGCGGTAGTAAAGTATAAGCTCTTCTTCTGATTCTTTTTTTTAAGGAGAGAAACCATTAAAAATGAAACCAGTTACACTGAACAGATTTTATTTAAGTAGACATCAATAGATTTAAGGATCTAGCAGTGCTACACATGTGCTTGATAAAAATTTTAGTTACTGAATGAATTTTAAAAACTGTAAATGGTAATTATTACTGAAAAACCTCACTGTTCTAGAAATCAGAATTCTGATGACTGATGCACATTCCTAATTATTCCTTTGAGGACATTACCATAAACAATCTGTGCCAATAACACTATGAAAACATCTTTAGAGACTGTGAGCATATTGTTTAAGATACTAGCAACTTCATCTCTTCAAATAGTCAAAATACAGAAATACCAACCCCACTATTTTCTTTATGTGTGTACATGTACTTCAACTCAAATTAGTCCCAATATTGATCATGTAGAGTATACAATCAAAAATTAAAATGATGCAATATTTTGTTTCTTTAGGTACAAATTAAGCAAATAAATAAATAAATAAATAAATAAACGTGAGAGAACAAAGAAACAGTTTCTTAACTCCTCCCAATTTAGTACACGATTTGATATAACAGTACATCCATATTAGATCATTATTCTTTCTAGGACAGTAGCTAAACAAAGTTTTGAATTAGTTGAAAATTAACTAAGAAGAAGAAACTATCAAATATATGTAAAAAGAAATATTTAATTCTCTGGAGACAGAAAAACAAGCAAAAGAATATATTTGATATCTTTCATAATATACTATTATGAAAGCAATTTTGTAGTAAAAGGCATACATTTAAAAAATATGAATGCACACAATATGTGGAAAAAAAGTATAGAGATGGAAAAAAAAGAGGTAGAACAAAAAAAAAAAAAAGTGGGAGTTGTAGGTAAATGGCAAAACTGCATTTCCAGACAGAGTTTAAGCTGGGAGTGAGTGGCAGCAAGAGATAGGAAGGGTACTGACCATACTGAGGACAGAAAAGGTGTAGGCATACAATAAAGGATGCTGACGAAAAAACAGAAGAGGGTTAATGGATTTAAAAAGAAACGATTTATAGCAACAGAATTCCAATATATTTTAAATGGGTTATTTTAAATAGATTATTTTTAAATAAATACCCCTCCCCCTAAAAGATCTTTAATTAAGATCAATTGATTACCTTTACACTGAAAATATTATCCTCACAATCTTGCCCCTGCTGTCCATCCTCTCTTGACTCTGTCTTTGTGCAGGTCCTTCCCATCTCTAACCTAGAGTCCTTTTGAAAGACAAAAATTCTAACATATTTCCAAGTGCTAGAAAAATACTGATTTAAGAAACTAAAGTCTTTATCTTATGATATATATCTTTTAATTGTGAATCAAAACTGAAAAATAAAAATTTGAGCCAAAGGAATTAACCAAAATGAAAAAAAAAAAAAGGACGTTGATCAAAATGAACGCAAACCATTTTAAAGATCTTACAAAGAGCTCTCAGCCCTCTGCCCACCCCACCCCTAAGAATACTTAGGACTCTAGCTTGATAAAAAAAAACCTAGGGACAACTGAGTCTTTCAGACTGGTCTCTCTGCCTGTCATAATCTCCCTGCTACAATCCATAGTCCACAGTGCTATCAAGAAATACCTGTTAAAACATACACCTTATGCGTTTCCTCCCTGCAGAGATAGTTGATAAAGGCTTAAGAAAGAGGTCTTTCAAAATCTGACTTTAATTATTCTTGCCTACTTTCTTATAATTTACATATTCCATGTTTTAAAATTTATTTTTAATATGTTTCAAAATTCAAGATTCAATGGGGTATACATTAAACACTCTCTCCTACCCCTGGTCCTTTAGCCATCCACTTCCCTACCCAGAAGGCAACCAATATTATCAGTTTGTGTGTGCTTCCAGAAATATTTTACATACATACAAGCAAATGCCTTTGTAAGTTGTTTTCTCCTTTTTACATAAATGGTAACAGACATATTGCTTTTGCAATGTGTCCTGGTGTCTTCTCACCTTCACATATGCTACTCCTTATGCCTGTAATTTTCTTGTTTCTGCACTTTGTTAAATATATACCTTCCATGGCCCAACTCACTACCTCTTCTCTACAGTCTTTGACCACCCAAGACAAACTCGGACGCTCTCTTCTGTGAAGAGCCTTGAACATACTCTCTTACAGCGAAATCATAACACTTAGCATACCAGATTTTAACTATCCATTACGTTCCTGTCTCCCCCATTGTATTATAAAGACACCAATTAAAGGCACAAGGTCTGATTCATCTCTAATTCCCTCTCATCCACATCCAGTATCTAGAATATACCTGAAACAGAGCAGTCATTCAATAAATGATCTGCTAAATAAACATCATACTTAATAACAAAATATACGATTCATATTTTCCAATATTAACACTTCTTTGCAGAGAGCAACCATGAGGTCACATACCTGAAGACAGCCAAGCAAAGTACTGCATAGTAGAAAACAACACAGATGTTTCTTCTTGAATTCTACAATTTGCCTAAAACTGTTTGCTACCAAATAAAAGCTTGCCTTGCTGTCATAATAAGGCAAGAGGCTCTAAAGGATAATGTATATTTGCCAGGTAGGTTCATGAGATGTTCAGTTAAGTCTGAATAAGTGAATCTAGGAAAACCAGAGGTAGAGAATGAATAGAGATACTCAAATGCTGTTAAAATCAAAACCTCATTTTTACAAAAAGTTTCAAATTCCTGTCCCACCTTTTATTTTTTAAACAGGAGAATAAAATTCAGCAGGTTTCAACTACTTTTCATTTCCTCTGCTGGCCAGCTAAAAAATATGCAAATGAGCAGTAAAAAAATAAGAAAGACATCAAGAAAGAGAAGAAAACCCAACAACTAGGACATCCCTTACGCTAGATATCAACCTGTGACAATTAGAGAGCTTACCATAACATATAATTAAAAGTAAGCAACATATAAAATATGTTTAGAACACTTTTATTCATTAAAAACCATTGGTTCTTAATAGAATGACCTCAGTTATCCAGAAATCTCTTACTACATTTCAAAATGATTCATTTCTATAGTCAGATTTTAACTATATTGATAAAATAACAGGACCTGGTGTGCAAAATACAAGGGCTAAGAGTATAAATACTGTAGTGAATTAACACAGCTTTTTACATCAGAAAAATAAAAATCTAAAAATGTGGATCACAAACTCCACCACTGTAATTATTACTGTACTAACAAATTATTAACAGAAGTGTAAAACTTCAAAAAGGCAATTTGAATCAAAATAATTGAATACAGAATACTGAACAACAAAAAAGCCAAACAGCTCTTTTGCATTAGCTACACTAATTTTCTGTTTCTTTCCAGTCAATTTTACGAGGCACAAAATGCATCTGTGAGGTCCATATGCTTTGTTCCCAACACTAAACAATTTCTACTACGGCAAATACTAAAATAGCTTCAATAATTGTGGGGAATCTAAAAATAAGTGGGAATTAGTACTGTATTGTTCCAAAATAAATTTATTTTAACCAAACTCTTCAATGAAATATAAAACCAAAGTGACCTACTTCAATCTGTTGGGAGTTTCCTAATCACTAAACCATAGAAAAATGAAAGGAAATTATATAGGCTCTATTTTCAGTTTACAAAAAATCTAAACTAAAAGCCCACGTATCTAACTATATATATAGCCTCTGATAAACATAAACCAGCATATTCCCTTAGAAATTAAGAGACAACAGTAACATGTTAAAATCTTCTCCTTCAACAGCATCTGATATCAAACGTTTCCACTCCCTTATAAGCACTAACGCAAAACCAAGGTAAGGATCTCAAAACAAATGAAATCTAAACTAAAATTTTGCCCATGGGAAAGGACGCACCTCAGCAATCTAAACCTTAATTAGTTTTAAGATCTAAATAATAGCAGCATAATCAAATAACACGCTCCTCCATAATGATCTGTACACAGAAGCAATCACGATCTGCATCTTTCACCTTAAAGAAAAAATCTGCTATGGTTTTAAAAGTATACTAAAAATGCATTTTACCAATATGTATTATAATACATACACTTTTTATAGAAGGGAGTTATCATTATAATGTGTTCCATAATTAGGAGATGCATTTAGAAATAAAAGAATCATTCGGAAAAAATTTCTTTGGACAGTTGTGTAATTTGTCACCATCTCTTTTTTACAGCTGGTCATGAATGAAATTCTAGATTCTACTCCGCTGAACTAATGAAGCAATTGTGACTGAAAATACTCAAAATGGAACGGAAAACGGAGAGACAGAGAGAGGGGCCAGCTCTCTCTTAAATTGCAAACACAGTGAGAAAACAAAAATAAGACCATGGAATAGATTTTGTATGCAACTGGAAGGGGGCGATATGCATAAATACAGGCATGCATGCACACGCGCGGACCCAGAAGCTCCAAAACAGGAGGACCCGCAAAATCCGTACACGGGAGCATCCCAACAGTTTTCCATTTAATTACTCATCAGGGTAGCCCTTCACAGAGGTAAAACCCTGGAGTCTCTAACACAGCCTTGGGAACTATCTAGCCAATACACACTCTGCAGAAGCTCGGTCCCCTTCTAGAAAAGCGAGAGCTGACGCGCCTATCACTGGGCGGGAGAGGAAGATTCAGGCGCGTGGGAAGCAAAGCAGGGTCCAGGGGCACCTGTTAGGCAGGAACGCGGGGAAGGCGGGATCTGGGTTTAGGGAGAGGGGCTGGGGTTGCGGCCCTGGGGGGAAGGGGGTTGGGCTCTGCCAGTCAAAAGACTGTGCTTGGGATTTGAGGCCGGGAAGGGGTGGAGGGACTGGGGAGCAACCACAAGGGGGGCGGGAAGGATGCCTGGGGAGCCATCTATCAAAGACCCCACCACGACGAGAGGACACAAAGGGCAGGTGAGAGGGCAGCAGGGGTCTGCAGAGCCTTCCGCGGCGGAACAAACAGAGGCGAGGCTGGGATGAAGGGGTCGGAGCGGCGCGGGGAGCCAAGACCAGGGAAACCCACAGAGCGCGAGGCAGGAAGGGCCCGTCTCGAGCGCCCCAGTGAGGAGAGGGCGGAACCTCACCTGATACTCCGGGTACTCAAACATGTAGCTCATACTGCACTTGTTCTCCTCGAAGCCGAAGAAGACGTCCCACAGCCCCAGCGTCGCCATGAAGACCATGAGGGCATAAAACGCCAGGTTCCAGAGGTTGACTGAGTGAAGGAACATGATGCCGCCGCCGCCGCCGCTGCCGCCGCCGCGGGGCCCGAAACCGGGACTGAGCCGTCAGAGGGACGCCTGGCCGCCCGCGCCGGAGCG